CCAAATCAATTTAATGTACATAAATTATTTAAAGAATCTAATTTATATTTACGTAATTGTACTACTAATTCTACTATGAATAAATTTTCTTATTCAAACGATACAGCAACCAGTAATTGTTTGATCAAATCATCAGAACCATTTGATAAACATACTGGATTAATATCAGAAGATATTTTGAATGATGAAAAAACAACAGTTCCTAATAGTAATGTTAAGACTACTGTAAGTATTGGACAAACTGTTGATGAGATTGGTTTGGATATTGCAGCCTGTTTAGATGATGATAATGATGATGTGGACAATTTAATAATATACACAAATTCAAAGTCAATTTCACCTGTGAATAATAATCATAACCAACATAGTAAGTTTTTATTCAATCTGTGTGTGTTATGTACCTTTTAGTATATCTTAATCTATAAAAGCACATGAGTAATAGTACTTGTTATACAACTTAGTTCATTCACCAAGCATAAGTGTATGTACTTAATTTTGAACCACATTGTTTGTTTGAAGGTTGCTTAGCAGCCCTGATCAAAGTTGATAGAGTATCATTTGAAGCTGTGATCTACTGACTGACAGTTCAGCACCATGACCACTGTTATTATTGTTTTCAATTTCGTTTGACAGATTACCAACATGTGAACAATATTGGATTTTTGATGGTATATTCGTGTGAATTTTCAATATATATGGTACATTTACCAACAGTGAATTCACATCATAAGAGTACATCACCTTTCCCTTATATTAGAACCCCACAAGTAGTTGATCAAGTTGAATGAATCCTTCAGATAATATTTACATATATATATATATATATATATATATATATATATATATATATATATATATATATATATATACGTAATAAAAGATAATCGTTACTGCTGGTAAACGGTGACTAAATGTGTACCGGAAATGGTTGCTAAATATATAATGACCAACAAATTAATACATTTACTCCAGTGCTCCTATGATCCATAAAAGTTGGTGAGGCCGATTGGCTTTTCTGGAGACACTCATAAATGACACGGCACAGCCACCAGAGCTCAATAGCTGTTTTATTCTTGGCTTTTATATCCCTTGGTGCACTCATGGTGACGACAAACCACGTAAGAACCATATAGCAATGATTTGCTATCCCTTTCCAAGTTGGTAATTGTTTTGTACAGCTTCCATATAGACAATAGTGTAATTTACTGTGTATACTTTGCTTACCGTCATTCCCTCTCTCTTGTTAGGTCCACATTGTTGTCCCCCCAGACCTATTCCGTCATTTTCCTTTCAGTTTCTTCCTGTGTGTGACATGTTTGTAGATGCCCCAATAGCCATCCTCTAGTTTTATATGTTTTTAGGCAATTATTTTTCGGGCAGGTGTATGCTTCAGTTTCTTTTGATCCATGGTCATTTAAATAATGCCGATGCATTTCTTTATTAGTTGCAAATAATCGACTATAGTTTTCATTTAGACATTTAAATACTAACTCTCACTCTCTTATTATGCTAGATTTGTATTCACTAAGTATATACGGCTTTATTTTGGTCAGACTATCTACCCATCCATTTAGGAGGTGTTCTTTCAGTATTTGTAGATCCATCTATAACTGTCATAGCCAACTTTTTGCATGCGCCCTTTTTGCTTTCTATTCATTTTCAAGTACCAGGAAGTATTATAATAACTGTTAAAATAGTGAGATTAAGAAGAAACAGGTTTACAATAATCGCGCGGACTCCAGCCAAGTAGTCTGCATCTACCAACATGGCTCAGACCAGGAGTTATTGACCTTATGGGCCGATGTCACGTTTTGGTTTGGCCGCGCCAAATTTTATTCCTTCAGTCTCCAACACTAGTCAGCATTGCGCGCCGTCGTAGTCGGTGGTTAGTCATGCGTAATGTGTGGCCGAACCATCTCGGTCAATTAAGATTAACAATCTCATCAACTAATTTACCATCATTCTGTAATAACCCTGCGTCTAACCTTACTATTACTTACACAGTGGTCCCAGTAGATGCGAGCAATATTTCTAAGACATAGATATGCTTTAGTTTGTCGAATCCTCAGTCATAAGATAATTTAAACCCTGTTGTATATGTTCAAAGTTATTTACTACTTACATCAAACCTACAATGTTAATATTAATTCAATTAACTTCATGCAATTAGTTCCGTTGATTAACTTTTGTATAACAAAAACCAACAAATATTATGAGATGACATGAATTCATTTCATTTTGCTCGAAATCTTTCACGGCTGGTTTCGTGCTGGAGGTCAAAAATTAATCGATCACTATGGCAGTACCAACTGAACCAAACTTTTTTGCATACGTTGAGTTAGAAATAAGAACTCTTACTTCTGTGTAACGTAAGAGTCTACCACTAATCTATCTATTTATCACTCGGAAAGTGTTACCCGTATCCATTGAACGACTCATACCCATTAAATATCTCCTTATGGGGGGTACTGCTGAGTAATTTGGAGACATTCGTCACCAAATTTTTTTCGACACAAGTAAACAGATCACTACAACTAAAAAAACTAGTGGAAGTCTGTTATATGAGTCACACTTTCTCAGTAGGCTTGTTGTTTCATATGTGATATTTGAATTAGTGCCAAGAAAGGTCAGTACGATATTGAAGTTTAATCGACGGTTATTGCACTCGTTAAGACCATCCTCTTTTAAACAGGATTTTAACAAATACTTTTTTGTGGGGATAATAAGATGTCGTAGAATCTTAATTGTTCACTTAAACTGGTTACTGATAAATCTTGTGGATCAATCATGTGATACATGGTTTCTTTCGATGTGTAGTCTTTATTCACATTCATCATATATTTCAAATTAGTGAGTGATTTTCGATTTCAGATTAATAAAAACCAATATCCTTTTCTTATTTCTCAATTAAGGTACATTTTCACAGAGACTTCAAGCATTAAATTTAAGTATTTCCTTTGAAGGAACACAAAATCCCACTGATCATATATTCAATTATCTACCAGCATGGCAACCTGATTCACCATCTTATGAAAATCATATTGATCAGTTGAAATTTGATAATCATGATGGTGATGATGATTCAATTGACTTAAATGATTTACAATGTTCATATATTGTTGGACGTAATTGTGCTTCATGTAATCGTCCATTTACATTAATTTGGCGACGTCATCATTGTCGTCGTTGTGGTCATATATTCTGTTCAAAATGTTGTAATTATTGGCAACCTATTGAAGGATTAGCTAATAATAAACCTGTTCGTATATGTTCTGAATGTTATGAATTTTTAAGTCCACAGATTATTCAATAAATGATATTATCATTAGTAAATCTCAGATCGTTTACTATTTATGTCTTTCTAGATAAGTTTGTTAGTAACTATTCTTATAATTCCTTTTCTTTTTATTCATAATCACATACATATAAAGTATCTTCTCATCACGTTAGTGGGTTGTTTAATATCCATTTTGAAATGAAATAAACATCACTATGATACTTGTCTTTATCCTACTTTGATTTCTTATGTGAATAAAAAGTAAATTCAGCTTCTAAAGCAGCTGTGCATACTACTTAATTCACATCATCATTACTATTATTATCATTTTTTTATAATTTATTTACTTACTAGTTATTTATATTTAACTTTATTTTCATAATTTTTTTCAGTGTAAGTAACTATCCTACAAAGTTGATCTGTATTCACTTTGCCATGAATGATATATTATGTACATAGAAATATATTCTTGACTTTGATAGAATCGTTTAATCTTTTTTATTCAGTTTACATAAAACCTAGTACAACTGGATGCGCCGAACGAAATTATAGTATTTGTGTAAGGGTTCGGATACTGACTGACCTAAGCGAATGATTTCCTTGGAGGATGGGCACTCTCCTAACCTTTAACGTAAGAATCTCATATACTAGTAAACGAAGCAACGTCAGGAAACGGCGTTCCATGGTAACCGATAGTCAAAAATGGTCTGAGATCGCGGTTTTCAAAATCCATTAGGTAAACCTTCCGTATCCATCAACCCAGTCTAAGCGAAAAGTTCGCTTTTCATCTTCTTACTTTCCTAAAAAAACACCGTGAACGCGTAATAACTGGTGATTGAGTATTGATCGGAATATAAAATGGAAATAACTAGGTTACTAGTGATTGAGTTTGTTTAGACCGGACTGAAGGTATACAACAATATAATACTTCCACTCAACAAGCTCTTTAAAGTCTTGTAAAATATTTAAGATTTAGATATACGATTTAAGATAATAGCGCGTTAAAGCATTTCGAAATGATACATTTTCAGGTTGATACACTTGTAATGGGTATTTCGGAAAGACCATGTCATTTTCCAGTAAGTTAGTTGTTTGACTTATCTTTCCATACATTTATGGGAGTAAAATTCAAAAGGCAGTCTTCAAAACATCTTTTTTATTTAACAGTTATAAAAATAAAAAACAGTTCAGTCGCTGATGGCTAAATCCCATAAAAAAAGAAACTTAACAGTAACGATTAACTGTAAAACAATGGGTGTATAAACAAAACTATTTATAAATGATCTGTAATTCTTGGAGTTATGTACAAAAAACATAATCTTGTTTGACATCATAAAGATAAATGGAAAAAAGAGACTGGGATAACTTGTCTCAAAGTAGTCAGGATTCACCAGCTTCCAACTGAAGAGGAAATTAGGAAAAGACGTTGGAAGTGGACAGGATATACATTGCAAAAATCATCAGACTGAATTACAAAGCAAGCACTAACTTGGAATCCTGAAGGGAAAGAGGAACATCAAGGGACGCATTGCGTCGGAATTGGAAGCAGACATCAAAAGAATGAATAGCAACGGGAAAGGATTGCCCAGGACAAATTTCAATGGAGAATTATGGTAGGCGGCCTTTGCTCCTTCACAAGGGATAACAAGCGTAAGTAAGAAAGTCTGAATTCAACAACACTTTAGCTTAAATGGTGTTAAACATATAATTTACAAGAAAAATTCTAATGAAGCATTTGAAAAGCCAATTGTTCTATCTCACCATGTAATGCATTCAAATCAAGACATTGTAGAGCTGGTAATAATTTCGTATGAATTATAGATGCTACACATGACTATTAAAATGCAAAAAAAAACGAAGTGAAGTAAGATTATTCCATTTAAATTATTATCAAACAGGGAAAAATAAAAATTATTAATTAACAAATCAGAGTGTTCACTTGATTTTTTAAATGGTAGGAATAGTATCATTGTAATTTGTGACAAGTTGTATGCAATAGGATTATTTTCAGATTTTATTCTGAAACCATCATCACTGGCCAATAGCAATTTAAAGCAAATCAACTGATAATCTATTTTGATATGAGGGGCCTCAACACAGATGGGAAAGTTTAATTAGAATAAATTAATTGGAAAACCAATGTAACACAATAATAAACCGATGTACTTCAATGCTATATTCTCCTTCTTATGAATGCGCGTAGATTGTTAAACTTCAATCGACCACAGAGTTATTACCTGACTAGCAAGAAGGCCTAACAAAGTAGCAGCTGGCTTCGTTAGGATAGATTTGCAACAAAATCACACCTTTGTCTCAGTTGTTAATGATTGAAGTTAACAAGAAAAGGGTATATTGTATTGGGAATGTTAAATCCCTGGAAAACTATTGAGTCACTGTTCACAGGATCTTTCTTTTATCGAAACTACGATTTAGATTCAGAAACATTATTTTCTGTATGGTCAGTGGCTTTGTAAGTACTGCAGTTTTTAAGGTTATTGTATATGTTTATATATTATGAATAAATTTCCGGTTAATATCAAATAATTTTTGAAAGATTTATTCTTCAGACTACCCAAGACTAGGGGAAATGGACCTATTGATGTATCGAAACTAGGTATTATTGGCGTTAGTTCAAGACACATCAATATGCCATTATCGTGATAAACACACATGAATTAACATACTTTCGAAAGTTTTAAGAATAATAGTGATTAACATCCAACTAGTAAAGTTAAAAAAGAGATGCAAAACATCCACAACCTCTTTACACTGGAGTTGAGAGTGAATCAACTAGGATTACGCCACCTTCCATCAAACTACACCATACAAAAGTCAAATTATTTATTTGTTGTGTCTCGAGAAAAGAGCTGTTACGGGTTTGCTAAAGCTTGAAAATTCCTAACTGATATCACATATCATATTATCGGTCGGACTGTTGACCGATTTTACGAATTTAAACACTGAGCAATAAACGATAACCAAGGCCCTAATACTTAATGTTCTTCAAGCCCCATTACCAACCCAGTGACCGATCGGCAAATGCAGATAGCAAACAAATTAGTGTTTCGTTAAGCCCACTTCGTCATTCGATTTGCGTGAAGACTGGAACACTGCCTTTTCGCCCAAACGGAAGCAGGAGGCTTCGTTAGAGGGTCACTTTCCAAGCCTTTGACCTAAAGGTCTGGTCCACAAAGCAGTGAAGCAGCGTTATGAGATGCAATTCTATGTTAACCGGCGACCAACAACATGTTCATACTCTATTTGTTCCCTTAGAATCCTGGAGCCCATGTGCACCATTGGTTTGGAATCATAGTTTTCCAACTCCCCTAAGTGGACCCTCTGTGTCCACTAACCCGGTTAGGGGATAAAAATTCGCTTTTTATCCTCTCAATTTCATAAATGACATCCTTGCCACGAGAAGGTAGTGAGTAGGAATTTCGTAGTAGTTGTTGTAAACACGTAGCCATGTAAGAGGATTTTGAGAGGGACAGCTGACTCTCCCCACCCTTAGTTGTACCAGGGTAATTACTAATTATATAATAAAGATATAAATAATCGTAACTGCAAAAAATAGCAGCGATAGTTTTTAACTTCCCTAATATTCGTTCCATCATAACATGATTATTTTATGATGATGTCTAATGTAAGAGATGAGAAATTATTTAAAACAGAAGAAAATTACAATTAAAAACCTCACCTTTTGAACACTTTCACTTATAGATTGTATAGATTGACTTAAAGTTTGATGATCTTGATCTATAATAATTTTTTGATATAATGTATTTTGAAGGATTGTACAAAAAACAATAACCAATGCAATATGTTTAATGTTCTCATCTTGAATATTTTGATAAAAAGAATTACAATTGCTTGATTCAGTTAATAAAGTACTATTACTATTTTTAGTAGATTGTGAATAAGAATGGCAAGTGAGTAAATATAAAATACAATTAGAACAAACATTTAATTGATGAAGTAGAAATGGCCAATCCAAAAGTATAAGAGAATGATGAAATATTGGTTCAATACATGAGAAAAGTAAAGCTGTAAGAAAAGAAATAATGTATGATAGAAATAAATAATTAGAATAGGTACATACCTATACCACAAAAAAAAGTTTTTTAAAGAAAAGAACATGGATTTGCGAAATTAGATATGAAGTTTCTGGATTATCGTATACGTCTCCATCTACAATTACTCTAATTATATGACTATCATCAGCCTTGGATACTATCTCAGTGATGTGGAGGTTAAGCGTTCGCTCGCGAGACCAAAATTACGGGGTTCGATCCCCACCGGCAGAATTGTGGATGCATACACACCCATACTACGATGAAACGGTCATACAGTGCTTCCAAATTTCCAAATGATGGTCTAACTTAGATCGGTTCATAATTTCAGTCAATTTCAACGATCTTTATAACCCCATATTGAAAACACTAGAAAAAGCATTAATTTATAAATTCCTTAAGTTTACTAATAAAACACTGTAATAAAACAACATATTTGCTTACAACTAAAAATAAGACAGTATACCAGAAACAGGATTTTTCTAATTCTATTTAAATGTTAAAAATATACTTACGAATAGATTGTCATATGTGTTGTACTTGCGACTTGTTAAACTAAACTATCAAGTATTGCTTGCTTCTTCAAACATAATTCTTAGATTGAATCCTAATAGTAATCTTTTTAAGTTTATGTGCCATTATGAAGATAAATTTCCATTAACACTTTTCATCATTACGTTGCCATGTACAATTATATATATATATATACTTAGTACATGAAAAAGACAATTTAACTGTTTAAAACTCAATAGATGGAAGAAATTTACAATTGATATATCTAGGGCTTGTGTTTCTTTCTAATTGAAACTTGTCGGCTGGATGCACCTGAATCACAGTGTAAGTAACAGATTGGCGTTTGAAGCGAAAGGTACTGGGGGTTCGAGTCTTGATGTGAACACCATCATTGGATTCAATCACATCCAGACGATGAGTACCAGATGAAAATAAAGTTTAAGAAGAGCTTGTAGCTCAATATCGAAAGTGAGGCAATCCTCTTAATGTCCACATATGCCAATAGAAATCGACTACTTGAAGTCATTGATATCAACAACGGGAAAACACAAACCATCACAATTTTAATCCTAATTATCAGCCTGGAAAATACATACTGAGGCAACCCCATACAGCTTAATACAAAAAGTAATACATGGATAGGAAATTGCACTTCACCAAGCAACAACAATTAAATATCGCTACTTATCTGATAGGTTTTAAAAGTTATATTACCTTTAGTGACCCAAGCTAATAAAGATTAACAATCACCAGCATTTTAATCCAACTATTACAAAAGGTAAGAATGGTAAGGTAGACATTGATAAGAATCTATGAATTTCCAAAGTTTTTTAATGTTCCCCTAGATTACTACTTCTGAGCAAATATTTCGACGTCGACCCGGATATTATCTCAGTTAAAATATACAAGAAATCACAGTTAAAATTTTGGCTAGATGTTCATGGTTTATTCGTAATATTGTAATACACACAATTAGATTGATAATACTAATAATCTAATTATTAATTCTCAACTTACATTTCGCATAATTAAATTGAGGACAAGATTTTAATAGATCACATGATGAAATAGGTTGATTTAGATCAAACAGTAAATTACTATCGTTGTTAATATTATTATGACAGGTAGAATTGAGTAATTTCAAAGGAAAACTATTCATATACAAAAGGCTACATCTATTCAAAATAGAGTTTTTCACAGAATCATAAGTATTTTCATCATTGTATTCAATCTGTGTTTGAATTCGATTGGCTAAATTCCAAAGATTAAAATGTTGTAAAGTTGGAATTAATTTTTCTGTGACTAATTTACGAATTAATTGCTTTGAATAAAATAAACAAACAGAATGAAAGATATTAATTATAATGAATCAATTCAAAGTAATTATATTTGTTTATCAACAGTATTCAATGATTATTTTGACCAAATTTTTAACACTATGACCAAAAATTATCAGTACAGGGTTGTGGAGATTGTTAAGTTGAAGTTGGACATTAACACCGTTAGATGCCAGCTCAGTGGTCTACATGTTAAGCGTTCGTGCGCGAGACCGAAGGTCCAAAGTTCGAAACAGGCGTACAGGATTATGGATCATCACTCCTACTGAGGAGTCCCATACTAGAACTAAACGGCCATCCAGTGTTTCCAGTGGTGGTACAACATTTTTATCATTTATTCCACTTCAACACATAAATATTGGTACAAGGAAGCACCAGATACATATGCGCTGCACAAATCTTATTCGATTTTTGTGAGGGCTGTGATACTGCCCAGGTGCCTAAACTGAAGCAAATGGTTTTCTTAGGGGGCCACATCCGGAGCCTTTAACCTAAAGGTCTGATCCACAAGGCAGTGGAGCATCGTGAGGAGATGCAGTCCTGTAGTGGATTAATTCCTCTATATCTGACTCCAATAAATAAATAATATCCCGCTAACTGAATATTTACTGCAGGATAAATCTCCTAGTAGAATTACGGGTTTACTCGAGATTATTCAAAAGCCTGAACATCAGTTATAGAGATAGTTTATTGTTGAAGCTCGGTAAAAATCCGCAAGCGTACAGAAAGCAAGCACACAGGGAAAGCAAGTGTGTGTGTGTGAATGTTAAAAATCTATATATATTTATGAGTGTTAATGGTTGTGGATAAATTATTGATTGTCTTTGTTCACAACCAATGAGAGGACAGATTAAAGATTGATGTGCAGATATATGCGCTCAATCAGACTCACACATAAATTTACAAAGTGGATTAAATGTTAAGATTACAGAGAGCACACAAATAATACAATAGTTGAATGGGCTTGCTACAGTCCCATGGTAGCCAGTGACCAACACTTGGTTCATACGCCATTTGTTCCTTCAGGATACTGGAGCCCATGTGCACCATTGGTTTGAAACCAGGGTTTTCCAACTCCTCTAGGTGAACATTTCGTGTCCACCAACCCGGTTAAAGCGCCGGACATTCGTTTTTCGTCCTCTCAATTTCGTAAACAACAGTAATTCTACAAGAAGGCAGTGAGTAGGACTTCCCTGGCAGAGGCTATATACGCGTGGCCATGTGAGAGTATTTCGAGAGGGAGAGCGAAGTCTACCCACTGTGGGTCGTACCAGGGCATTTGGGGGCTGGTACAACACTGATCGGTTATTATCTCAATTAAAAGTAACCGGAAATATTTTTCTAATAGACAAATTATAACATTAAATTAGATAAGTTCCTAATGACCTATCAACGCACTTAATAGGCAGAAATTAATGTATTTAACTTCGCATTATAGTTTAAAATGAAACGCCTGATTATACTCTACCTAGTTGTTTAATCTGATTTTATGACTTTGTGTTAGGATGTCGAACATTTTAACCACTGTGAGCCCATATCACTCCAATAATGACTATATAGACATAACAAAATGCAGATCAGTGTAAATGTGAATTTCATATTTTGTATGCTTAAATAATTAATCTAAATAACTGATTTTCATAAGCCGAATTTCATGTGAAATAAACTACAAGTTAACTGATCATAACATCAAAAATAAACAGTTGAACTAAATTTAGCTGCTCTGGTATGACCTAAGGTGGGGAGAGTTCGCTTTTGAAATCCTCTTACATAGTCACGTGTATACAGCCACTGCCACGAAATTCCTACTCACTACCTTCTCGCACCCGGAGTGTCGTTTACGAAATCCAGAGGACGAAAAGCGAATGTCTTATGCTTTAACCGGGCTGATGGATACAGAGGATCCGCCTAAAGGGGTTGGAAAACACTGATTCCAAACAAATGGTGCACATGGGCTCCATGATTCTAAGAGAACAAATGGAGTATGAACATTTGTTGGTCATCGGTTAACATAGGACTGCATCTCCTAACATTGCTCCACTGACTTGTCAGTTAGACTTCTAGGTCAAAGGTTCGGATAGTGACCCTCTAACAAAACCGTCTGCTTTGGTTTAGGCAACAAGGCAGTGTTTCATTCTTCACACAAACCGAATGACGAATTGTGGTGCATATATATTTGATGCCTCTTTGTACCAATATTTATGTGTTTAAATAAATAAAATTATACTAAGTAGATTAAACTTTTTCTGGCTAGATAATTAATTTTATAAGAGTATAATGCTAAATAATGAGAGGTCTCTTCACATAAGTGTTTTACGATATTGATAATAAAGTTAACTTTTATTAATATAACACTTTAAATATAACTAATACGTCTTAATTCTGCGATTAATAAGATAACGTCAGTGTCTAGTGTGAATATACATTGGAATAAATAGAAATTATTGATTCTTTTTTCAGCCTAAAAATTCATTTGTGATAATCCGTATGCGACATTACTTAATCGCACAATAATACAAATGTTTTGAGTTAACTTTGTTATAATATTTTCAAACGTTTATAGCAAGACTTATAATAATCATATCATTCGGTTTTATCATCGGGTTTTGAAATGTATAGACTGTGAACAGTATAAATCACAATCAATAAAAAAACAGGTTTTCTTAAAAAGAAAGATAAATAACCGTACAAATCACATTCGTCAATCATACAATTCAAACAAACGGAAAAAATCTTGAAACGATATTACTCTCAGGGGCTTTACAGGTTTCCGTTTATTTATCGTACTGTATCGAACTCTCAAATTCCAGTCTGAGACCGTATGATACTGGAAATTGAAAACATTTTTAGTCCAGTGCCAAATGATGGGTCTCAACTAAACATATCTATGAAGAAGCAATTTAATCGACATATTAAGGTATAAAAGTGGTCGTTTACTTTAGTTTAGTACTCGCTACGGACTACCGTTTTGACATGTTATCGTATTTTGAAAAGACGTAATGTAATCTACAAAGTCCCAGTTGATTGATCAGCTTGCATGAGGTAGACAATTACGTTAAGCGACCTCTATTTCCAGTAATGAAACTATAAAATACCACTAAATACTCATTTAACTATCTTCAAGATCAAACCATCCGCAATAGTCAAGCCAGTTTTCGAGCATACAAAGGAGACGATATCTTTACTTACTACCAGGAAGTTAAACAGAAAGTCTAAACTAGTAGACCTGATGCAAATCGACCCCATCCACTGCTATAACAACTCTGTTCAAAGAGAAAGACAAACTACTAATAATTGCATCTTCATTTCAGAGTCGAATCCTAATATCCTGACTGATTCATTTCCAGCTAATCAACGATTGTGTAAATTCACACAGAAATTCTTGTTTTTATTACTATGAAAAGTCATTCCGGTACATTGGGATAAATCTTGTTCTTAGGTCAAGTCTTGATCTTATTAGAGTTGAGTGGTTAAGAAGTATTAAACGGATAAATATATAACATAGATATTTTTCGACCTTAATTTTTTAAAATCTTTTTATTCGAAATGAATAAATTTATTCTAGTGAGATGCTAATTCCTTCATAAGGGTACACTCGTACTGTTGTAAATGAAGTACATTATAATGATTATTGATGCAAGCTGGGAATGGGATACAAACAAAGGTTTCTAATATTTCCAACACTTTAAATGCATTTGAATATATTTCAACAATATCTTTACATCATATCTCTTCGATTACACTATCTAATAAGGAAATAAAGTGACCAAATACACATGTTCACATATAAAAATATGAGCTACATAGACTGTGAATTTCATGCATATTAAGCTGTCCAAGATTAAAAATAGAGCATTTGGTTACTGATTTAATCCATAAGAATCAAGTATTTAAGCCAGTAGTTTGTATTTTCACTAATCTCAATGTTCATTATATAATCAATCATAAAACTGACACTGACTGGATAATAAAACTTACAGCATTAAATTTACCAGTATCAACATTCACTAGATATGATCGTTTGAGAGGAGAACCACGATTTTCTAAATTTCGAATTATATTAATTGAGAAAAAGTGAAAGAGACCACGACGACAATTTGATGTACACCACAGAAAATCTCCAAAATCCTTCATACTTGAATCATTGTTTTGTAAATGTGAATTATTATTGTTCATAAAAATACCAATAGAATCAATAGTATTACATCCTATCAATTCATTTAAAAGATTTTTCCAATTCATAACAGCAATTGGATGTGAGCATATAGTTGAAATAATGTTGAATATGATATCTGATAGATTGTTAAAAATGAAAATGAAAAAGAACTGAATAATGAATACGTATCGATAGTTAAATTAATTGTTTTAGACTTGAATAGACTAAAACTAATGCAAGAGGACAATACTTGATTCGGTTCATTATTAGATAATATAAACCGAGTACAACATATTCAACAAATAGAAAATTATTATCATTATAAGTGATAACAGAGACCCTAGTTTCTGAAATATGATAGAATCCTTTCCCAGTGATCCCATGTAGTATTAGAATGATGTTGGGGTGAAGCTTCAGTCGGTTGACTTAGATGATGTAAAGGAATCGGTAAAAAGAGTGCCGGACCTATGTTTCATGCTGTTGGTCACTCGTCAACGACGTGTACCTGTAAAGTCTCAATATAGTCTACGTGATGTTGAATCACTTAGACAAGTGGACACATTGCAGTTTGATCGATAGAATTCAATCAGCATTAAGAGATTTGGACATGATATTGGCTACTACTTAATGATCAACTGATTGTAAATATCTCAGTCCCATAGGAAGCTAGTAGCAACCCTAATAGATTAGTGGTAACATTTCAGATTGCGAACCTGGGAGATACGGGATTGAAGCAGCCAGGGAGAACCAGTTACATCAAGGTTACAGATATACCTTGCTGATGAGTGTCAGCTGATAAAAAAGCTAGATCAAGAGTGTCCTGTCGACTGCCTCTAAACACCTAATAGTTATACTATTTGATGAATATTGATTTTAGAAGTAATTTGCTATGACAACTTGTTGTATTTTAAGCTATCTTCGACGCTGCCGTGATAATAGTCCAGTTATAAAAAATCCAGAGTACAAAACTGCTAACGAAGCGGCTATGTTTTACACTTGAGAAAATGATATGCGGTAGTGCGTGTAAGATACGACTGATCAATGAGCGTGCATAAACAGGTAATTAGCCTACGGACTATTAAATACGTGATTTCCTTTCCTGTTATTGATTCCCATTTCGGACTGACTGAGTGTGACTGCTTATAGCTGTGTCATCTGGCTTTTTATTCTGGGTCGTGAATCCTGAATCTGATACAGTGCGACTAGTCTCATTACTGTATAAAGTATTATAGTAGTATACCTAAGAGAAAAATATTTTAAACTATCCTTTTTCATCAGAAACTTAGTATATCTGAGTTAACATAGTTCAACAATCTGTGCTCAATCACAATTTTCTCCAAATAGTCGTTAATATTCGATGACTATCATATAGATAATTGTAAACCTAAGCTACATTTGTTCCAACATTTCGCTCACCACGATTCGACAAATGATATCATTCTGAAACACAAACTTTGGTCAGTTAGACACGTCCTAAATATATTGCTTCAACTCCTAAACTTAACACTATATACTGACTATGAAATGGTGAAAAGAGCAGAGAGGCAATCAGTTTATATTATGACCTCATGAACCAAAAGATATCTGTCTTCAATCAGTATTTAATGGTGAATATATGTACGTTAATAGCATGCTAGTTAGTTGAATAATTACCATTGTCAGAAACTCCGAGCCCTTTTAAAAATATCTTCGAATGATCAACGTCTTTAGGGATTGATTGGCAGGGGGTAGTTACAGTTAGTGGATTTTCTGTCTCCGAAACGATACTAGAACAAAAAGGAATTTTGTTTAATGCACCAAAATCAGATTCATTGTTATTTTTATTTTTTAAGCTCTCGTATGTTTTGTCTAATAAATCAAACAAATGGCTATAATCTTCTTTTAATATATTCAAAAAAGATCTGAATACTTTTTGAATTTCTGATCGACGTAGTAAACAAGCAATCAAACATCTTACTCCTGCTCTTCTGCCCTCTCTTTGGGAAGTCGCTATAATTGATTCATAATCAGTAGGAGTGATTAATGGGGGAGTAGTAGCAGTAAGGTGATCAATAATATCCATACTTTCCAAATCTGACACAAGAGAAGGTAAATTTCTCATTATTGCTAGTTCTTCACAGGATAACATCTTTAGAAAGCTAGAAAAAATGAAAAAATGGTCAGCCAAAAAAGGGATTACATACAAGTTATTGAGAGAGTAAATATTCATAAGGACAAATTAACCTAACCTAACATAATGTTATAAAAAATCCCGGGGTTTTTTATACGTGAAAATACTGACTATCCGTTTTAGAAATTACCATAAACGTCAAAAAACGCATCAAAATACACTTTTTCTTCCCCCAGAGTATTTTAGGTCCAAGTTGTATTTGACACTTCAGTCAGTCAGTCAGCCACAACGTAGGACCAGACACATTTATGCATCGGTCCAAGTTGCCATACCTCGTTAGCACAACAAGGTGAACACCGGATTTATAGAAATAGTTAATTTAATGGTGGTAGTATATAAAAGATAGGTTTTATATAAGGATATAGTATAGGAAGAAAGAAAGTAATGAAACAATTTTAATCTCAAGGTTTAAGGGAAGATAAAGAGTGTATACACCTACGTCATTGTGATCAATTCTGAGCCATGTCATCTAGAGTCTCCAACCATTGGTCACGATAGTCACGCGGACCCCAACCAGGTAGTCTGCACCTGCCAACATGGCTCAGACTAGAAGTTAGTGACTTCAAGCACTGATACATGTTTTGGTTTGGCCTCCCCTAACTTTCTTCCAACCATCCCCTACACTAGTCAGCATAACGCGCCGCGGTGATCGGTGTTCAGGCATACGTAACACGTGGCCTAACCACCTCAGTCGATGAAGATTGAGATGGTTAGGCCACGTGTGACACTTACTCATGTAAAAGTCAAATAAATGTTAATGTGAACTCTAATGCACAATAACGCCTCAGACCTAAAAATAAATCCTGATTCCGAAATTTAAAATATTTTACATGACAATTAAAAAAAGCCTTTTCATGAGCATTCGTTGACTAACTGCTGAAAAATGAGGACGAAACGGTCATTTAATCTGATTTTAAGAAGAGCAAACTTAGTTATCTTTTAGATCAAAAGCAGCAGATTCTCTAGTAAAATATAGCCGTCGTTTAAATGATCAGTTCCTTATAGTGGTAAAAGTACTCAGATCATCGGCTGGGACATTTGCCCATATACTTTGGTCTTGTGTAAAAAAATCTAAGAAAAAATCTATTTGACCATTGGAAAGACAAGGTCTATGTTTCACCAAAAACCCAAACAGCACATAAGCGATTGTATCACATCCCATTGTGTCTATCAATTTACATGTATGTGCGGAAACACGTACATAGGGAGGAGCAATCGTAATCCGAAATTAAGGGTGGCAGAACACATACCTAGATGGCTGCAGAAACAAATGCATCCCACTGATCAAATAAGATCACAAGATAGACAGACATCTTCCTCCATTGAGAAACATTTGGTTGAAAAATCTATTTGCCGATACCATGGTTACGTCAAAACTATATACACATCTAATCAAATTAAAACTGTGGCTAACCACCAGTTACCCATTCATCTCCCCGGCTGTTAACTCAACTCTGAGTTGAACCTATCTAAGTTAAGATTATACCAAACACCATACATGGGTATGCAAATAATTAAAAGACTAAACTCTGTCTTTCCAAAAGACACCCAAAAACCGGCTAAGTGTTTTGTCTCAAATTAAGTCTTTAAGGGATTTTTAAAAGGAGAAAAACAGACTTCCTACATGCATCTGCCGATACAAAAATAACAAATATTCGATCGAATAATTTACCATCAAACTATCCAAATATAAGCTTGATTGGTAGTCCAATGTCTTCCGTTGACAAATTAGTGTTTAATTTAACAATTATTTCATTTACAACACGTCAGAAACAATGGGTGTTTACTGTGATGTACTTGATAGCAAAAAAATTCACTAACATAATTATAGCAGTTCAATCTTATGATGTCGCAAAACGTAAATATCTATTAAGTTATCAGTTAGTTATCGCCAAGTTTTTACCAGTTCAGTATATTTATATTTGACTATTCATAAGTATGAGTAAAAATATAGAACTTCGTGTACTGTAAGCAGTTTCTGATCTATCTTCAGAGCATAGCAGATCTTCATCCACAGTTTTAGCCCTTTTCCTTTATGTCAAACTGTACCGGTTTTATTGTTATAACAAGAGATAAAAAATAAACAAGTTTAATAGTCTATGTTAATATAGCTAGACAATAATCCCGCACTACATTTAATGGTAGATATTTCAGACAAAGCAGTAAGTGATATCTTCAATTAGGTGGCGAAAATACTTAGCAATCAACGACGTTCCACACGAAACGACTTGCTCCCACTGGGACTGGGTAATTCACCTATGGAGGAAAACCCCTTATGACTTACCTGGCTATTGGGCATTTCGAACACATGTTGAAAGGCAAGGTATTCGTGGTTTATAAAAATCATAAACCATCAACAAATTGCATTGAAAGTCAAATCCGACAAGTATTCACACAAAGAAATTTGTTGCCTTGACTTTATTTCAGTCAGAGTTCGCTTACGATTCAAATGACTTGGATATAGTTAAAATGGAGACTAAGTGCTTTCAAGTACAATATCCACAATTTAATTTGCCGATTGCTAAGTAAGCCTATAACTTGATTGCATACATTAGCTAAATGAAAAATGATATGAAGTTTTCATTATCCATATCTACCCCTATGTCACGTTGAACTAATGAGTACGTTGTATTCACACTACTCTCACACTAGTTTGGAGAGAACGAAGGGGAATTTTTGAGCATATTGTGAGTACATTAGCCAAAATGTCGGATAAATTTAGTAAAATAATGACAATTAGTCCCTTTGATAAATTTCGATAATTCAATGAAAAGACTAAGTTTATCAGAATTATGTGATATACTTGCGCAATACATTTCGAACAATCTGATAACGCATATACTTTTTAAGACATTTTCATATACAAAACCGATAGCTTGGTCACCTGCATCGATGTCTAAGATGAAACGACCAGCAGTGGGAGAACAGTCTGGATATGCTGAAATTGGTGTCGGATACAGCAAACCTTTCAACTGATCGAAAGATTGTTGGCACTTACCAGTCCATTCAAAATTAACGTCCATTCCCATAAATGCATGAAGAGGAGCCACAGTCTCTGAAAATCTTTGGATAAACCTTCTATAGTAAGTTACTAAGCCTAGGAAGCAGAAGAGTTCATTAGCACTTTGTTTAACAACCCAGTTTCGGATGACATCGACTTTCTCGCTAGTTGAATGTATCTCTTGATTACCAACGAAATAACCTAGGAATTTAACATGCTTCCTCAACAAGCAAGATTTCGGTGGTTGTGCTTTTAAACCAAATTTTTGCAGGAGTTCTAAAACTATTTGCAAAGTTTATAAATATTCTTGAGCAGTTGTTTCGTGTACTATAACACCATCCAGATACACCAAGGAAGCATGTGGCACCAGACCAGACAGTTTTATATGCATTAATCGTTAAAAAGTAGACGGCTTATTAGTTAGACCAAAAGCCATTGTTTGAAGTTCATATAGACTCAATGGTATGGTGAAAGCCAACTTGTGTCGATCATCTGGATGTACTTCGACTTGCCAATAGCCAGATTTTAAAACTAGTTTTGCGAACCACTTCAAGCAGTGGTTTTATTTCACCAAGTTCTTGTTCTATAGTACAAGAGTCCTCCGCTTCAGTATTAGATTCAGTCTTTACGATTGATTCTGTTTTTTGTTCTAGGCATACTGAGACTCCAAAATTTTTAACAGGCTTGCCAGTAATGTTATGAGCAATTTGACTAGTTAGCTGGAATTGCCGATGGAGTAAATCCCACAAAGATATGTGTTTACAGTCTTAGCTCAATTAGCTTCTAACTAATTGAAACTGTCCAATTAAACGTATTGATACAACCAATCGATCAATAATTGAAAATCAAAGGTTTTTTATCTTACTGTTTTACATCCCTTTATTTTGATAACACCGCCAGAGAAATCTCGATAACTTGTACGTGTTTTGTAACGCCATGCAATATTAATTTTTATGTCTTCTAAGACAGGTAGATATTTCGACGAACAATCACAGTTATCACCATTATGTTTCTCAACATTTAAGAATCTTTTTACATATTCTTCCGAGTTACTTTCAAAACTGCTATGCGAATGATGTCGGTATCATCTATAAACGAAGGGTTACTAAACGTACATTTGTTATTATTCCTTGCACTGAGTTTCCCAAGTTACGAAATATTTATCTCAATGGGAAAGAGACGAGATAGGTGTAGCTCCGATCATATTACCCAACATCATTAACATTAACATACACATGTTCACTCATACTCCTTACCAAATATTTTCGAAAGTTTTAACTACCAAGTAGTTGATCCACTCCATTTTCATAACCCACGACTAGGTCGCCTCTTATCAGAAATATGAAAATCTCTCTTGTTCTTAGAACATGACCGCATTATGTGATCTGTATTATCCGCTCTTAGAAGCCTAGTTACTGGTTAGACAAAAGTCTAATTCACTGAGATGATTTAATTTATCCATCATCCTGATATGTTAATAACCCATGACTATCTTGCTGATCGATATTATCTAAACAGATAGTTAATTTACCAGAACTTCGAGACTTATATGAAGAAAAAATGCGTTAGCTGACAACAGATGACATTGAAAAAAGAAAAGAATAACTCCTTTCGATGCCGGATACTTTCTGACGTAGACAAGCCTATACCTATGTGTATTTGTTCAGGGCCAATAGGCTTTGCTTAATTTCAAGAGTGCTCCATAAATAAGATATGTATGGGACCTAATTGGTCATTTCCGTAGAATTTAAGGCTCAGGGTCGATCACCAAGCGACTGGAAGAAAGCCATAGGTGTGAGACATAAATTTGAGAACTATCGATCCATCAGCATAACCAGCAGGGTTGTCAGAATTTTGGAAAGGATTGTCCAGAATGAGTTGTTTAGGTGTCATGGAATTTACGAGCACACCGTAAAAAGGTTCACTAGCCCATAATGGACATCTAAATCATCAACATTGATAATCTCTGTCGAATGATTGGAGGCCCACTCGAGTTAGACGGGAACGGTGTGACGAACCAAATAACTTCGAAGTCACACCTCGCGGTCAGCATCTAACGTGAATTACCATTCAACATATCAAAGTATTGTGGCTGCTCTGAAGACCATATAATACAATTGACGTTATTATGGAAATATATTAGTAAGAATGAGTACAGAGAAGATAGCGAGACCGCCAGTACATGGTGATGATGAAACGGATATTCTAGTTTTACAACTAGATACCAATAGCACCTTCTAAATTCGATTGTTCCCTGTCAGATAGAAATCAGAAGTCAGACGAGAAGAGGCAGGAAAGATATATTTGATTCGTTACCAATATATCGAGGACCTTTTCTATGAGCTGGCTAATGAAACGTAGGAGCTGTGTCCCACGCCGAGTCGAAACGTGATCTGGTGCGGGTGCATGACCGAAAGCCTTCAGCTAAACAAGTCCACTTAAACACGTGGTCAGCATCCAATGTCGAACACTTAATGAACTATTGATTTTGGGGAATTATTTACAGCTACAGATCACTCCCCCCCTGGTGAGGTAGTGATGCCCCTAAGACGTGACCAGCCAGAAGTTTAAACCCAACGAGTTTGTCGCTGGTAAACACTCTTCTGATAGCTTGCTTCGTTTAGCAGCATCTGGTCGTCTTTCCTTAAACTATGGGACCAAAATGTACAACATAGCAATAAAGAAATATAGTACAATGAAAATTTCGGTTTCTTGCGAAACTTCGTCGTTCTTTTCCAGCCGTCCTGGAAAAGAGGAAAAATAAAACGTGTGAATGCATGTCGAAAATACACTCGTACTAGCGTAAGGACACATTATGAGCGGAAAAAAAATGAACTGATACACTTACAAACAGCGTAAAAGCGATCGAAAATAAAGGTTTGTTTTTGGGTTTTTTTATATATGAAAAGTATATATATATACGCTCAAAAAAAAGATAAAAATGTTTTGTTTTTTTGGTTTTTTTATATAAATAAAAAAATGAGCATATTAAAAATTTTTTATAATGAACTATGGAAGGGTAATTCAAGATAAAGCTTATGTCCTACGTGCGATATTCGTTAAGATGTTCTGAAAATCTGACTCGTCTTCCAGAACGCGTTGTTTTAGGTTTTTCTATCGACGTTGACGAAGTATCAAGTTGTGTGTCGGTTGTCGTGTGGGGTACTACGAGTGTAGTAGCTGTGTCGTTTGCCTGTACCGAAGGAAAATCGACGTAGCTAGGGTTTCCTTCTAGGTACGCAGCTTTGAGTCGATCGATACTGATGCTATCTTTCGTACCGTTCTTATCAACTACATAGTACTTAGGTTCGCGTTGAAGAACTTTGAAGGGTCCTTCGTATGCTCATTCGAGGGGTCGTCGATGAGAGTCTCGACGAACGAAGACGTGTGTACTATGTCGTAATTCGGGTTGAACGAAAACATCAGTTGATTGAGGTCGAGTGTGAGCAGGTTTAACTGAACGCATAGCGTTTGTAAGCCTACTCGTGTAAGAGTTTAGATCCATGTTCAATGAAGAAGCTGAAGGATCCACGAATTCTCCTGGGAGTCGGAGTGTCGTTCCGTAAACGAGTTGAGATGCCGTGTATCCAATGTCAGCTTTCACTGCATTGCGGATACCTAGCAAGACGAGTGGAAGAGCGTTTGTCCACTGTGAAACGTTTGAAGCTGATACTGAAGCTTTTAATTGTCGATGAAAACGTTCTACCAACCCGTTTGCTTGTGGGTGGCAGGCGGTCGTTCGGAAGCGCGTGATTCCTAAAAGTGTGGCCAGACAACGGAAAAGTCCAGATTCGAACTGGCGTCCGCGGTCTGTAGTGATTGTGGAAGGGCAGCCGAAATTTGCTACCCATCGTTCGACGAAAGTGCGAGCCACTGTTTCAGCAGTAATGTCCTTAATCGGTACTGCTTCTAGCCATCGAGTAAAACGGTCTACGCATGTTAGGAGATATGAGTATCCGTTCGAGTCGGGTAAGGGTCCTACCAAATCTAGATGGACGTGGTCGAAACGAGCGTCAGGGGTTTTGAAAGAACCTAAGGGACATTTGTTGTGTCTGATTACCTTAGATTTCTGACAGCTTACACAGGAGCGTGACCACTCCCTCACGTCTTTATTCATGCCAGGCCAACAGAAACGTTCGGCTATAAGTTCGATTGTTGCACGAGCACCTGGATGAGAAAGATTGTGCAACGTATTGAAGACGTTGCGGCGATAATGTTTTGGTACAATTGGACGATCCCTACCTGTAGATGTGTCACAGAGTAAGGTTTCCTTACCTGTTCACATCTGCCTAATACTTAGTTTAAGAGTTGTCGAGGATAACTCATGCTGAAGATCAGTGTCTTCTTTTTGAAGCTGAGCGAGTTTAAGAAGGTCGATTCCTTGGAAACTGTTCAAGGAATTTATTCGAGACAAGGCGTCTGCGACTACATTGTTAGCTCCAGAAATATGTTGTATGTCCGAAGTAAACTGCGAAATGTAGTCGAGTTGTCGAGACTCTCGCGGTGAGTACTTGTCTGAAGATGAATTTAAAGAGAAGGTAAGAGGTTTGTGATCGGTAAAAAGCGTGAATTCTCTTCCTTCGATGGAATGTTGAAAATGCCGTACAGCACAATACATAGCTAGGAGTTCCCTACCGAAAGTGCTGTACCTAGATTCCGCGTCTAGCAACCGTTTCGAGAAAAATCCTAAGGGTTGCCACGAGTTGTTAACCCATTGTTGTAAGACTGCTCCGATTGCTGAGTCGGATGCGTCTACGGCGATAGTAATGGGCGCTTGACTGTCCTGATGAGCAAGCAAGGTTGCTTTAGCGATGTGTTCCTTAACTGTGGAAAATGCTTTACGGGCTATGTCGTCTAAACTAATTGATTTCGCATTTCCACGAAGCTAATCGGTTAACGGTTTCATTAGGGACGCGCATTTAGGTATGAACCGTCTATAGAAACTTACGAGTCCGTTAAAAGTTCGTAAGTGATTGATCGTGGTCGGTTCTGGGTAATCCAGAATGGCCGCCACTTTGCTCCTAAGGGGTCGGATGCCTTGGGCATCAATGGTGTGTCCTAAGAAGTCTAAGGAGTTGGTTCCGATTTGGCATTTCTGTATGTTGACAATAATGCCATGCCTTTGGAGTCGATCGAAAACAATGTCCAGATGTTTGAGATGCGATTCTCTGTCCGGACTTGCTATTAGATAGTCATCAACATACTCACGTACGAAGTTGAGACCTCGGAAGACGTCGTCTATAAACCTTTGGAAGGTTTGAGCCGCGTTTCTTAAACCAAAGGGCATTCGTAGAAATTCGTAAAGACCGAAGGGAGTGATGATGACGGTTTTAGGAATGTCGTCAGGTGCTATCGGGATTTGGTTATAAGCTTTAACCAAGTCGATTTTCGAAAAGACAGTTGTACCTTTCAAGGTAGCTGTCAAATCGTGAATATGAGGCAGCGGGTAACGATCGGGAATGGTTTTAGCATTTAGACGCCGATAATCACCAGTTGGCTGCCAATCATTGCTGTCCTTTTTAGGGACCATGTGCAATGGGGATGACCATGGACTATTCGATGGTCGAATTATCCCTAGGTCCATCATGTGGTCGAATTCGTTTTTAGCTAACCTAAGCTTCTCGGGAGCGAGTCTTCGAGCTTTCGAAAATACAGGTGGTCCTGTAGTCGTGATGTGATGTGTAACATTGCTGGTTACACAAGGCAATTTCGATTGCGATTGGTATATCCCGGGGTATTTGTCGAGTACTGATTGGTACAAGGGGTCTATGGTGTGCTTAATCGTGACTGGGGATAAGCTGCAACCAGAACAAGGAGTTACGCTAACAGATAACTTAATGTTTCCGTCTATTAACTTTCGTGAGCGTGTGTCGATGAGTAGATTGTGGTGTTGTAACAGGTCTAAACCAATGATTGGCATAGAGACATCTGCAACCACGAAAATCCAGTGTATGGGTTTGCGTAAACCCACGTTAAGGTAGACGTACCTTTTACCGTAAGTAGCGATCGGCTTTCCGTTTGCCGCCTGTAAACTTAAAACAGACTCGCAAAGTCTGTCGTCGGGATTTGCTGTAAGAACGCTAACTTCTGCGCCAGTGTCGACGAGGTAGCGAACTTTCGTAGTCACATCCGTGACATATAAGAGGCGGCTGTGTTCGCCGGCTACGGTTGCCGTTAACGCGTGCCGGCTGGGAAGTTTCCCGAACTGTTTTTCGTGTCACTCGATTTTGAAGTCGGATAATTGCAAGGTTTCCTGCAATTTCTGGAAAACTTACCGTACTGGTTATGATACCAGCACCAGTCGGGATTGTCTGTCTCTCGTGGTCGAGAGCCAGATCGCTTACGTGAGGCGCTTCTACGCGGGGTTTTTGACCGACTACGGTCATTGCGAACTATAAGATATCGTGTAAGCGTGTGACATAGTTCGGCCATGTCAGTCGAGGTCGATTGGGGTTTTTCCTTGACGGAAAAAACCTCGGCCTTAGGAGATCTAGTGATTTCCAAGATTCGATCGGCAGATGCAGCTAGTTCATCTATGGCATTGTTTTGAAATGAAACAAGCACTGCCTGCACCTGTTGAGGGAGTTTAGACAAGAAAAGTTGTCTAAATAGACCATCATCGAAAGTTCGTTGGCCGATGACTTCTCTCATTCTAAGCAACATGTCCGTCGCAGAACCATGTTGCAAGTCGATATTGTAAAGGAGTTGGTCTAACCGTTGTCGATCAGTTAGGTCTCCTCGTTTTAAAATCGACAGCTTAAGCGATTCGTAAGGTTCGGAAACATTACTAGTAAACATACTAGGTGTTACGTACCTGTTAAACTCGCGCGGTAACGCCTTAACTAACGCGAGGAAACGTGTGCGCGAATCCGTGATTCCGTGCATGCTAAAATCGGCTTCTGCGTAGCAGAACCAGGACTCGATATTGTCGGGCCAAAATGGCGTTAACTGAATCGAAATAGGGGGAATAGACTTAAACTTAAGAACCTTAGGAGAGTGTTCCGTCATAGTAATATAGATATCGAAAAATGTCTAATTAAAATATATCCGAGAAAAAATCTGCGAAAAAAAGTATATCACAATATATAAAATTCAAATAATGAATAACAATGAATAATAATATTCCAAAATGGAACAGACTCACAGTATATTGACTTGGTGTACCAGATCACGTCGGGCTCACCAATGATGATGCAACGGATATTCTAGTTTTACAACTAGATACCAATAGCACCTTCTAAATTCGATTGTTCCCTGTCAGATAGAAATCAGAAGTCAGACGAGAAGAGGCAGGAAAGATATATTTGTTTCGTTACCAATATATCGAGGACCTTTTCTATGAGCTGGCTAATGAAACGTAGGAGCTGTGTCCCACGCCGAGTCGAAACGTGATCTGGTGCGGGTGCATGACCGAAAGCCTTCAGCTAAACAAGTCCACTTAAACACGTGGTCAGCATCCAATGTCGAACACTTAATGAACTATTGATTTTGGGGAATTATTTACAGCTACAATGGCATACGACTAACTGATGAGCGTTGTTTGCCCTTGCCCTTTATGGGGAATGATGATCTTTTCGGTATTCAGTGACCCGACTGCCGGATGATTTAGCTAGGGCTCAATGACACTTCACTGACACTAAAGAGTACTTATCATCTGGTTATAGACTTTTTTATCAAATCATCGACAAACGAAATTCATTACTTCAACACGAGATTGAAGCCCAAACTATCAACGCTTTCAAAATTAAGTTAGGTAGACTGATAGGCCACCATTGACAGGACTAAAACAAGTGCGATAGCCTACTGTCCTTCCCAAAATGAAAATGTAAAAGATTCAATGCAAACGTTCACTCCTGGTATTTTTTCCTGTGCATAAACTTTCTAAGTAATTTTTAGAACTCGGAACCAAGATAAGAGTACTTTTCCATCACAAGAATAAGTTAGGACAGTCTAGACATAGTGGAAAACTAGAAAATGAATAATGTCGGCCTATCCCCATAAAATCATGATTTCAATTAATGACGAAAGGTTTCGTACATTTTACCGTGTCAAACCTATATCTGATAGTTGAATTACAGAACATGAAAAACGAAATTTTTCGCTCATCAACTTTGTGGAGTGAAAATTGTGTTTTTACTCACTAGTCAACACGGTCAAGGTCATCAGAAGGTTAGATCACTCATGAAATGTCCAGATCTCCTGGTCCAATACTGGTATACGATCGTAAGCTATAAAGTATTCTTTGCTAAATTTTGTCTAGAAAAGAAGAGGAAATGCGCGTTGCAGGAAGACGATCAAACTGGTAGAAATCTTTCGCGTTTATTGGAAATATTACGTACATATAAACCTGATCTAGCTTCTGAACTTTTGCTCTCACTGGTAAATCATTTTCATTGTAAAATATTATTATAAGAGTTCATTTCCAAGGTTTCAGATACAATTAACATTTTAACACCCTTAGGTTTATAAGCTGTGTTCAAAATCAATATCTTCTTGACAATTTCGACCCACTTGTATTTATCGGAGATGGTGGTTTCGGAACCGTTTACAAGGTATACTTCTGTCATATTTACATCCAGCATTGCCGTAGACAAGACACAAAATTGACGGGAGGGCCTACGCAATCAAGAAGATTTCCGGCTCACGTCCGAGAGATACTCTCGTAAGTTTGATAGTGTAGTATCAGTTTATATGTTAAGCCCATATACTTTATCCTAGCTACTGGCCAAGCCAATTCGCCTGTCATGAGTCATGTTTTGATCTTGTTCATTATTCGTTTATTAACCTGGGCTATACTTTTATATGAGCATATATGTGTACACTTCGTATCTTACTCAACATATGTCTGTCATTCACTTTTGTCTGATTATAAACATTGAGTAACGCTTGCCTAAATTGAGTTGGCTTCCTCGCCAATCTCCAATACGCATTATCTTTCGCTTCGCTCTCGAGTTGGCTTCCCAGCCATCTCCACTGCATGTCATTTCCGCCTCGTTCACTTCCTTCGCTTATTCGCCTGTTCACTCGCTCGTTATTATTCGCTCAGGTGTTGCTAACTTTCTGACCTGAGTTATTCGACAGTAAACTGTAGTTGCTGCTATCCTTTGTCTTCTGATTTTACGCGCCGTTAAGATTAGAATTATATCGATTATCGAAACGAACGATTAACGGATCACGACACAACAATAGTGTTCTTTGTGATATCCACTCCCACCTTATTAATTCCTGTCGGCTGAAACATTCTTTAGTCGAGATAGAAGCAATAAATCAAAATGTGTTCTCATTTTTATAGGTCTGATTTGCACAACACTGTGTGCTAATTTTGAAAGGGTCTGTGTTAGCGAAACGTCACCTACCAGTTTTCTAGTACTTTATTTATACAAGATTGTTGAAGAAATAATATACTGACCTGTCGTATAAATTTAGCCTGGGGTTACTATAGTGATGTTGGTAAAATCTTGTCACAGTTACGTTCATACTTTCTTTTCACCTACCTTTTGAACATTGTCGTATTCAGTAAACTTCATTTACGGATTTCACTCATTTTTATCCTTTTTTCTAATTACCGTTGGTATCATTATTTTCAATTCTCTGTTTTTCTTCCCGGTGGTATATTGCGTTTGTGCTAATTTAAAACATTAGTTCTTTGGATCATTGGCATTTGTGCAAGATTCTACGTTATTCACATTTTTCCTTGAAAAGTTCCTGCTTTGTTAGTTTCATAGCTACATAAAACCCATTGAAGTGTACAAAATTTATAACCCCTTAGTTTAAAATGAACTGTTGGTTAGGGTACCAAGCAATAAAACAGTTTACTCAAAATATTCAGATGATAAACTCATGTCAGAACTTCATCCGTCCCTCCCATTTTCAGCATGCGTTTCGTTCGTGCAACCATCTTTCACCAAGACTGATGTCATATAGCAAAATAATATGGAAAATATGTTGATTTTTTGTTTCAAGACCTGTTTAGTCATAAATGTGTTACAGCGAAAGAAAAAAATGATATTTAAATTATGTCGTTTTTTTCTTTTCTATTTGCTAGGAGCTTGCTAGGTCTGAAGTGTATACAATGTCGCGACTTAATCATGTAAACATAGTTAGATATATCACGTCATGGCTAGATTACGAATGGATATCTGTTGAAAGCAATAGTGAAGTAAGTATTTCATGATTATCGTTTTGTAAATAATCCAGTAATCATGTCCTTGTACTTTTTACTTTGCGCATACTGCTGTTTTATAGTGTGCATATCAGTGAGTTTTTCGTTTTTTGTTTGTGGTGATTCTTGTAGTTGGGTTACCATCGATTTCCTTAAAATCCAACTCCCTACAGAAGTATTGAAGTTTACTGATTTACTGAATTACCATCATAGAATCGTTGTTTCACTAACATTTGTCATACCCGGTGTAAACAATCAGAAAATAGTTTGAGCAATTTCAAGTAAATATCTACTAAGGTTGAACTCCACACTAAGAATAATTGTCTAAAATATTAGTAAAAATTCAAAAATGAAGAACGTTAAGCCTTAATAGTATAAAACCATCTAAATGGAAGCGATCGATTCTCTGCTAAAATATGTTTCGCAAACCAACCTCAGTCAATCGGTATATACGTACGAGAAATATTTGGAAAATTGGTTGACAAATGCCGACAACTACTGATCTGAAATGCATTCTAGTCTAGTAATTAGTCGATAATTATTTAGTTTGTTCTATATCCATACTCAGTTTGTTGAATGCAAACCTTACTCTCTAAACCCACTCTGAAATGCTATCACCATTTTGTTCATTTAAAACAAATGGCGTAAAATGTTACACACTCCATTTTTCATTTTCAAACAAAATAAGAATGTGGACCAGTTGTGTATTTTGAATTGCTATGTATGTCACATATCCATGTATTCTCATGTAGTGGTTGTGGATATAAGTACATTTTAAAACAGGCATAGCAAACAAGATAATCATACGCGATTCACAGTAAAAAATCGATTACAAAAGTCGTTTCCAAAGGTGTAGGAAGTTGAGTAGGGATTTGAAAACTAATGAGTTTTAATGAAAACTATTGCATTTTACAATTTCAGAATAATGTCAATGGCTTACTTACTTTACCCACTTACTTACGCGTATTGCCCCTCGCGAGACATTGACCGATGATTACTAATCTCCGGTTAACTTTTTCTTCGACTCTCCTTTGTTTTGATGTGCACTTCCATTTTCATGCACAATGTGTTCTTTAGTCTGCCACTTTGCCTTTTGCACCGAGGTTCCAAAGTCAAGACTGCCTTGTTATGCAGTTCGATGATTTCCTAAATGTGTATCCTATCCACCTCCAACGTCTTTTCCATTTTAGAGTAAAGCTCAAACATATTTTGATACACGAACATGCGGTTTACTTATGTGACATCCCTTCATATGTTATATAGTTTCGCTAAACCTCTTGGTTGGAGATTTCCAGTGACACTTTTAAATAGACGAAATTTGCCGCTTAAAAACATCCAGAAGCTATATGGAAATCCAAATTTATTTTGTTTCTCATGGCTTAAAAAATCACTTTCAAGAGATAGTTAATCTCTTGTTTAATGATATATTTTCATGTATCCTTTATTCTTTTCCTTACCATATCCTTTTTGATACTTTACCCATCCAAATTTAACAGTGACTTAAAGATTTTATTGATTTAACTACATATTTATACGAGGATTGTGATTGTTTCAACTGAACAGTATTAGGAAGCCTTTCATTGATATCTATGAATGGTTTTGATACAACACAGTCAAAATGTGAAAATTCGTGACACCGGGGTACAAACAAATGATGTAAGCAAGTGGAAAACCTACTAAGTATATTCAAATATTCCATTTATTCTACCTTGTCGAAAATAAGCAGTATTCCATAGCTAAAAATGGGCTTTCGGTGCCGTTTGTCGGTCTACTATAGTTTAACGGGCCCAAATTGTAAGCTTGTTCCCCATAAAGTTCATATCCAATAGTTTTCCACGAATAGTTAGACTTGCTTCTCTTCTATCATTGATAGGTTGAAAAGGGTTGACGTATTTATAGTTTGAAACCCGTTAAACAGTGTCCTTTTTTTAACCTTAATCTATGAAATCACAAACAACTTCATAACATTTTATAAACGTCCATAGTATTTTGTCGTTTTAAAATCCTAAATAAAGACACCGAAATTCGGTTGAAATACTTTTGGGATCTGACTTCTCGTGATTGATCGTGGTATATATTCTTTACAAATCTCCCTTAAGAACTAATTTTTTTGAAGTCCTCACCAACTTCATACTTATTGTCTGACGACACTAACTGAAATGAGAATACAAGCAGCTATTGTTAAAAGAAAGTGAAATCTGTTACATAAATCATATATTTGGGATCCCTCATGCTTCTTATCATCACAAACAAATTTTAGGAAAGATTTATACCTTATACACACCACTTGGTTGTTTCTAAGCAAACTGTCGTTTTAAACCCTGGGCTAAGTATCTTCTTTTTTTATTTAGGAAATAACCATAACTATCAAACCACTAATGATACTACTCATTTTAGTGTAACGTAAAATCATTCTTACTATTCCATAAAGACGTAGACGTAAACATTAATTAAACTTCAAGTGAATGTTATATGTATTCTTGTTACATTCAGCATTCAACTAAGTTAATCAGTGTATAGCAACTAATTTGAATTTACTCTGAACCTGAGGTATGCGGATTACGGAAAAAACTCAGATTGATTGTGACTTGTAATACCTATGAGCTGCAACTCTCTTTGAAAGCACATAATTCATCGAATGATCAGCCACATTCTAACCTGTAGTAAAACTTCTAAATCCCTATTTTTCTGTCTTCTTCAGGTTTCCAACTGTAATCTTACTTATACATGTACTAAGTAAGTATTATTTTTCGTATCAGATTTTTATTCAATATCAAAACGACAAATGAAGCCAATATGTTTTCGTATTGGTTATCTACGAAAGTGTTTCATACATTTATTCTTTGAGTACGTCGAAGTATAAGCATTCGATCAAATCTTATCGATAATTCTAAATCCGGAATTAAGATTTACAAAAGATAATTTCAGTCAGTTAACTAGTCATAATCAATGAAATGTTTATAACAAATGTTCCGTAGTCCAAGTCGCCACACCACACTAACATGACGAGATAGAATTAAGATGAATAACAAAGGAGTCAAAATAGTGTAAGGGCAACAATAAAGAGAAAGATTAAATATTGAAAATATGGTTCAAAAAATAGGATGAAAATGTTTGTATGAGGGATTGCTAGTGCTTCAAATCTATAGAGAGACCAAGAGTGAATATGTAAGCATATTTGTTATCGACTCCGAGTCATGTCACCCAACATCTCCAACTACTAGTCTCAATAGCCGTGCTAACCCCAACTAGATAGTCTACATCGACCTACATGACTCAGACTGACAATCAATGACTTCATCGACTGATCTTATCTCTTGGCTTTATCCCAACCTACTCCTACACCAACCATCATAGTGCGTCGAGGTTTTCAGTCGTCAAGCATGCGTAGCACATATCCTAACCACACTAGACTAAGGTCCATAACCTTATTGAAACACCTGTTATTTTTACCTACTACTCTGCACCTAACCTTTAGTACTGTTCATACTATGATCCCTGAATACACGAGCAATACTTCAAAGACACCTATGATCAAAACCCTGCAGCCTACTCATGTCTTCTACTTTTAAAGACCATGTCTCACAAGCATAAAGGAATATAAAGCGGACTGCTGAACAGTGTACTAGCTTCTTGGTTGAGAGACGTACGTCTCTCCTACACTACCACTGATTCAAGTTTGTCTTTGTGATACTATTAAAAAATATTAAGAAGATTTACGACTGCGTAAACCATCGAGAGATTTAATATTAACACGCAAACTAGTGCGTTTAAGGAGTTTAAGAATACCACAATTATTCTGTGTACTTATGAATCAACTGTATAAATAGTTGATTTTTATTCGAAACAAAATATAGATGTTCGAAATATATTAGAAGTAAAACTTCATTTTCAAATATATCACTTCGGCGCTTGTAATTCTAATGAATATCTTTAAGACCTAACCGTCACTTATTGAGAATGTTTTATAGATCATTATGTTTGAACGCCAATGTTTGTTATGAATGGGCTAGTTGGTGAAATAGGGATGTTTGAAATATATACTCAGGTGTATCGGAATATATATCTCTGGTGTGTATTTATCAAACACTTGACATATAATTCCCATTTAAACACTAAAAACAAATTGTTCAGTGAAAAGATCTCTTTTCAACGAATTTATTATCAAGCCGTACAGTCATATATATATATATATATATATATATATACATGAAAATTTTTTGTTGAAGTACTAGTTCCGTGAGGAAATGTGAACAGGGGATAACCAAGATAATGTAACGGAAATAGTATAATACTAGATAACTTAATACGAATAATAACCACAGACTTAATAAGTTGGTAACGAATTATAACGTGAATATAGTAAGATGATCAGAATGTTTTTCTTACATTAATTGTAGGTAATTAAAGGTAATAGAAGTGCTAAATAGATGAAGTGATATCATGAGCGATTATGAATAAAATAATGAGAATATGAAACATAAGTAAAGGGAGAAATACAGTAATAATAATAAAAATTAAGGCCAAGGTGACGATGACGATAGGATGTACTTCTTTCGTACGCATAGTTCTGGCTTGAGCTAATGGATGGTAAGAGCTTCGGATATTTTTTAAGAGCTGGATACGAATAAATCTATGTAGATTTGGACGAATTGTATATACAACCTTAAAATCAAACTGTGGATCAGTAGAATGATAACAGCCGATTAGGTGTTCAAGTATGGAACATCTAACTGCTTTCCTCTCACCCTTGTATAACCACATTGGGACATGTTTCCGTATCCACGTTAAAAGCGAGCGCTGGCTACTGCCAATGAACCTTGCTCCATAAGAACAAGTAGACTGGTAGATTCGCATGAAGGCGACCAGACGAGGAAGCTTATCTTTTATGAATACAGAAAACAATTTCCTACTAGTAAACGTTATTCGCAGTTTTGCCTCATAGAATGTTCTTTTTATCGCTGTCGTTAAACGATTTTTGATTACATCAGGTGTTCGATCACCTTTAAATTCCAAACTTTCTTTAGAACGGAGCAACCGGATTCCTTGTCACAACTACATGGTATGGTAAACTCGACATATCCAAAATAGGTAGTAACAGTAAACAAGGTTTATGCACTTTCGTAATCCATACAAGCACGGGATGATCGGACCCAATGGACGTACGTAATCATATAAGTCTCGGGTTATTATCCCCTTATTCTTAAAATTTTTAACAACATCCGTTAGTTGTTTTTCAATTTGAGGTGTTTTGTCTACTCCTTTAGGTTTGGAAAATTTAGTACCATCCTCTAGGATTAATCTCATTTAATCCAAATATTCTTGGCGGTCAAGTAGTACTACATCAGCTTCTTTGTCAGGTTTACTTAGGATCAAATCCTTATTTTTTTTTCAGGAGCATGAGCCGATCCAAATGATCCTTAGTTAAAAAGTTATTCTTACCACATTGTATATTAATGTATCCATGACTACTGTCCAGTATTGTAGATTTAAAATGTTGAAGATCTTGTGGGGGTGTCGGCACTCTTCAATTGCACTTTCGTCAATTAAAATGCTGGCCTTATCATTGGGTCCCAAGTTCTGAAATAACACTACCAAAACCAGTAAATTTCAGACGCAAATACAGTTCGAAAATCTGTAAAATCAAACTCATGATGTTGTACCGACATTCTAAATTGCACTGTTAGCCACACCTCAAACGTAAACTATAACCACTAAACAGAGGTACAGGAAAGCAAATGATAAATGGTTTATTAGCAGTATACTTCACAAATAGTTAACATGGATACATAACTCTTATCTTATCAACTTATCCATTCATTATGTCTCAGTATCTTTCTTTTTTATTTTTACATAGTAATTATTTAACTCATCCATCAACCATTATGAATATAAAACATATTGAGTCTAGAAATAATCGTACTCCGGTTAAATCTTCATTTAATACTCTTCTTACGCCCAATAAATTTAATGATTCTTGGGAAATTAATGAAAACCCAGCAACCAATGCATTATCACTACCAGATGAAAGACGAAAGAAAAAACGTAGAAATAATCTGAAAGTCGATACTTCATCAGATATCAAAGCATTCGTTCCTAATAAAGAATTAATTCCTGTCAATCATTTTGTAAGTTAATTTCTGTTTTTAAAAAAGAGGGTATGGTTGTAATTTATAATTCCAATGACCTTGTTTGTGATTAGCTGTCTTTGTAGGTTTTATTGACTGTGTTTACCTTTGTATCCACGTGTTTTATTTCTCATTTTTCTATGTACGTCGATTTATATATCGTTTTATACTACATTTTAATTTAACCTCCTCCTAGTGTCGGATCTTTATCTTCAAGATTACTGGTAATTTTGGATTTCAACAGAATTCTCTCATAAAAATTAATGCACTCAGTTTCTATGTGTATTTGATGAAGAGAGATTCATTTACACGTCGGTATCTTCTTTTCTAAAACCTCAAAATATTGCTGAGCTAGTTGTATTGTTATTAAGTTCCATAGCTTATAGTGACAGACCAGTATATTTATATATATCATTAATTATTAGTCTGGATCATGTTGATAAATCCAGAATGCTCGGTTGAGATCCACTCAATTACTTCAATCAGTGGTTGGAGAAGTTGGATGATTATATGGTTCATTATCTCAATTCCTTTACGGTTTATCTTGTTGACTTCATCCTGTCGTGCTAATATGGTATAGTAATGTTTGCGAAGGCACATTTGTGTTCCTATCTACACTTGTTACTCCTCGTGGAGCATCGGCCTCTGACCAGGATTCTCCAACCAACTTTGTCTTGGGCTTTCCTTTCCAGTTGTTTCCAATTACTACTAGCACATTTGTCCCAGACTATACTGATAGTGAGTAATTGGCTTAAAAAAGATTATCGGTGATCTACTGGAAAACTTCTGCTTCGTCGAAATTTCTGAACAGAGTCAATTGCATTTAACCGATTGGACTATTTATTTTAAGGTATAATTTATCACTAAAACATTAACTACTAATAATAAGTATTGAATTTGTTTACTTTTCTCCTCTTCTTCAACATACTTTTTTTAGGATAAATCACATCCCGGTTTGTGTATTCGACGACCTGTTCTTTGTATTCAATTAGAACTATGTCAGTATAATTTAGCAGATTGGTTACGGCATAGAAATAACTTGCACTCTATTAATACTTCTATCCCCAATAATCAGTTGAATATCTCACCGCTTTTATATCAAACAGTTCAACGTGCTCCTGTTCGTTGGTTAATGGATCAAATAGTTTCAGGTGTTGCGTATTTACATTCTGAAAATGTAATTCATCGTGATCTTAAGGTAAGTCTATAGCTTCTGTAAATTTCCTAATTGATTTAATCATTGACACGATAATATATGAATGAAGTAAGCTTAAATGTTTACTAGCTTCTTGCTAAAAAAGCTCTTAACATGCTGTTCAATCGAATAATCATCAGAATAAGGGTTTTGTAAAGATTGTTTTTATTCAAGTATGAATTATTATTAATGTTGAAGTGTTGTAATATAGTCAATTCAGTTGATCTAATTCATATAGATCCATTTCATAGGAGAAGAATCTCTTAATCATGCAGATAACTAGATCATATCATATAGCTGATCTCAAACTTTATTTTATTTTATTTATACACACAAATATTGGTACAAGGAAGCATCAGATAAATATGCGCCACACAAATCTCATTCGATTTGTGTGAGGGCTGTGATACTACCCAGGTGCCCAGACTGAAGCAGGTGGTTTTCTCAGAGGGCCACACACGGAGCCTTCGACCTAAAGGTCTAGTCCACAAGGCAGTGGAGCATCGTGAGGAGATGCATTCCCATGGTAGCCGGTGACCAACAGTTGGTTCATACACCATTTGTTCCTTCAGGATACTGGAGCCCATGTGCACCATTGGTTTGGAATCAGGGTTTTCCAACTCCCCTAGGTGGATCCTCCACATCCACCAACCCGGTTAAAGCACCGGACATTTGCTTTTCGTCCTCTCACTTTCGTAAACAACACCCCTGGTGTGAGAAGGCAGTGAGTAGGACTTCCCTGGCAGAGGCTATATTCGCGTGACCATGTAAGAGCGTTTCGAGAGGGAGAGCGGACTCTCCCCACTTTCAGCCATACCAGGGCATTCGGGGGCTTAGGTCTCGTGGTAAGCGTTTAACCTTTAAACTATTGAGTTAACATTCAATCGTTGACATTTCTAACCCAAATTAATTCACTACTCCTCTTTTTGTTGCCTCATCTATTCAGTTGCATATTCTCCAGGTGTTGTTATTTTCTTCCTCATGACTAGTTTATTCTATATACAGCTACTACTCATTTATCCAAATCTACTTTCAAATTGACTGATTTCACTTTTTCTTCCCAGCCTGAAAATGTACTAATATGTGGGCCTCCATTGCATTCAATCACTAATATCCCATGTACATGTATTGTTGATCGACGATTATCGCATAAACATTTGGACAACGAAAGAGAAAACTCAATCCATTTGTCTTCATCTTCCCTTTTACCAACAAATAATAATAATGATTATTATAATAATTATAATGACAATAGTTGTAAGCATTCAGTTTCAAAAGTATCAAATTGTTATCATCAATTAATTGTGAAAATATGTGATTTTGGATTGGCAAGAATATTGTTAGATTATCCATCATTTAATGTAATGAATTCATACTCTGATTCATCAGGTACACAGTCTTGCATTTTTATCATTAGTTGTCAAGTGTTTAAATTATTTATTATATGGACTCAATAGTACGTTAGTGGGTAATGCCTATAAACTTTTGAAGGAAAGGTTACCGGGTTCGAGTTCAGGTGTGGAAATGAAACAAACATCTGTTACTTAAATCGTATGGGTAGATACTGAGATTTTATCTAAGCCATTTACATGTGAGCTCCGGAATCTTGAAGGAACTAATAGCGTATGAACCTATTTCGGTCACCAGCTGCCATGAGACTGAATATCCTGACGTTTCTCCACTGTCTTGTCAGAGGATCAAGAAGTGGACTTTTAAAAAATATAGAGAAAATCTTCTCATCATGTGCACAAATGATATTTACAGTTACCTTGATACAAGCCGTTATACCTATGGAAACTTTTACATGAAACAAGTGGCAACTAATATATTCATCATGCAGGTTTGAAGAAAAGAATTGAAGTCAGATTTTATTCCCTCTCCTAAACCACAGCAAACACTTATTATTTAAATAAACTCATTTGTATAGAGATGTTCTTGGCAAATGATATTTGGTCAACACAAATGTCATACATTACTGAAATGATAGAAATACAATTTGAATTTCACACTGGCATTAAACTATCGAATGTTTCGCTGAGTAAATGTCACATCGGACTAATACAAACAATTACTGAATGAATATTAGACTGAATTTAAATATCTCTTGTTTTATCCTGACCTAACACCCTCACCTTTTCAGCAAAATACCTATAAATAGGCTCTCCATTTAGGACTTCTGGTTTCATCTGTTATTCGTTTTTATTCTAACTGCAAAATATGTAACAAATAATCACAATTAAATTTCTCTTGAGGATAAACGATTACAGGATACTAGTGAAGCTCTTCCCCCAAGAAGGATCGTATATGTCAAGTCCTTAGTGCTCATTACTTGCGACCCAAATAGTTCATTAGTAACGTCCCTAACTATGAAGCTAGATGACGCAAGGTCAAATCTACCAGGAAGCATCATTCTCCCCCCCTCAAGATTCCTAGTACACCTGAATGACAGGGTTTCCTGTTGACTGCCGCCGATCGTCACCTCAAACTTTGAAGTGTAGTTGTGTTCGTCTTATTCCAATAACAAGGGTATCGAATATCCATGGTTCTTGTTAAAAAGAAATACAGTCGACAAATTTAAACAATAATTTTGTTGATCTGTATATATATATATATATATATATATATATATATATATCTGTTTAATGATGCACATTAAAATTTATGTCAACTAAATAGAGCATGTTCTATACATTAGAAGAATGATTTTGTTCTTATCTTTCTTGTTAACTTGTAAACGAGAAAAAAGAATAGAAATAGATCAATAATTTGGTGATATTGGTATGTAGGATATTTAGAACAAACACTTCATTCTGCTTAGAATGATGCTTAGCCTTAGAGTATAGACTGGTTTTATACTTCGTATTACTATCATCTATACTGTATTTTAAAGAGCTCTTATAAACTTTTATTGTTGTTCACTTAACTATTCAAAAGCTCTTTTTGATCTGATCTTGTGTTTATTTCATGTAACAGTAGTTTTATAATAACTCTAAAATTCAGTTAGTTATCATCAACATAGACCTTAGGATGAACATGCTTTGAGCCAAGTCACCATACCATATTAGCACGGAGAGATAAAAACAAGATAAATTATATAAGAGACCGAAATAATATGATAGTAACCAAAATGAATATTTGTGACCGATTCTGAGCCGTATCACCAAAGTGTTCCAGTTCATTTATATCTGATTGTTGTATCATTTTCCAGCAGTAATCTCTATAATGATTTTTCTCGTTAGAATACACTATAAATTTTTATTAGCATCAAACATTCAATGCTTTATATTTGATGATTAAAAGTAGTCGAGAAGATAGATCCCTTTAAACCCTTACTTTGTTGTTAGCTAGCAATCAACGACAAGGTATTGAAAGAAAACTAATGCTCCTTGTGAGATTTGAATCTAAATCAACTAGTTTCATGGTGTGAGACGTTACCACTGAACAATGCGGGCTGCGACTGACCTCCTGTTGAATTGATATATTTACATATGATTGGTCACTGAATGAGTGAGTAGTGATCAATGTCATGTTTTCCTAATCCTCTTAGTGCTAATTAAATTATATCGATAAAGTTTGTTTTACACAGTAATATGCTAATTTTTACTTTGCAATAATCATATTATGTCATAACAGCGTCCTGATCACATACTCCTGGAAGCTGTTGATGTGTTTTCCGACATATTTCTTCATATAATTTTTCTACAATCTTTTGTTGTTTTTTTTTCAGACATTTTGCATTCATTTAACAAAAACACACATGTACAAAATCAAAATGATACCAACATATCGAAATTTTCATCTCATTTAAAATCATTATCTTTATCACAGTCAAATCAAACTTCATTGTTTAATGAAACTAGTTTATTACTTAATGATGATGATAATAATAATAATAACGATGAAGATAACAGTGATGAGTATCCATCGTTATCGATATTGTCAACATCATCTAGTCGAAGTACTGATTCGGATAGTTTAATTCAGTTTAAAAACAGTTCAAGATATTCTTCAGAGTAAGTGTTTTTATTTCATTTTTATTCATTTTGTTAAAGATATTTTACTGAATGTAGATCCAGTGTTATACAAAGTTTTACTTTGTTTTCGATGTGGTTACATTCTCATAAATGTGATTAGGTTTATAGAAAAGAATACAAGACACCTTAACTAGACTATGATCATCTTTTATCTTAAAAAAATAAAATAAATGAACTTGAACACGATTAATTCACATTTAGAACAGATTTGTTTTAAGTCTGTTTTGTTGGATCTGATACTGATATAAAAGCTTCATATGTGCAAGCTCAGCCTGCTATTTTAGTGAAAAAACCCATAGCAACTAGGAAGCTTTTATTGACTAGTCTAAGTAAAAATATATCCATAAATTTATTAGTCTAATTATGTGAAACTCAGAGAATTAAGTTAACCATTCAACTAGTAATATATATTGGCTTCTTCAGAAAGTTAAGCCGAATCCTGACCAATAGAGTACACCCATCATTACTCCTCATTTTTTTATTTGGCCTTCAAGTGACATTTCCGATTGGCCCAGAGTCATATAATTATATCAGTTCTTAAATTACTAGTTTTTTTAGACTTTAAGGTTGTGCATAATTATTTTACTATGCTTTCTTTGGTCCTAAGGAAATACGCGTATGTGTGCGTGAGAGAAATCCATCGTCTAGTTAGTTCAGTAATAACCTTTGTGGCGGTAACGTAGATTGTACGGAAAACATCAGTCATTCCCCTCAAGATTTCACACACCGTCCTACTGATGACGAATACCAATTAGTTTGAAACATAGTTTCAAAACTTTCTATCTATTTATTTCATGCAGCTAATTAGGATTAAAAGTGCTCACTACATGATCACAGTTTAATGTATTGATTCAAGTCACTTCTTCAGAGTAAACAAATACCATTTTTCTACTGATTGGGATATAACAAAAAGTATATTCATTATGAAACTTTTCTTATTATTATTATTATAGCTATTTTACCAAGTTATCTCTCTAATTATTAACTAAATACATGATTTCTTAATGGATTTCTTTTTTCCCACAATTTCAGTAATTTATCAGAATATGATGAATCAATAATGAATTCTATACAATCCAATCAAAATGGAAGACAAAATAAAATGAAATCTAATCAGGAATTCACTATAGTGAATTCATCTAATAATAATAATGTATATCAAACAAATGATAATTCTGACGAAAAACATTTATTATTGTCAAAATATAAACCAGTAACGACAACTAAAACACATCAGACATTGTTTTATTTAACAGCTGATTTAGGTAGTTCAATTTATACTGCACCAGAAGTTCAAAATTATTGTAAAAATAAATCACATCAACGAACATTGTACAATTATAAGGTTTGTAAAAAAAATATTATAGGGATTGTTGAATTTCATTCAAATCATGAACCGATCTAAGTTAGACTATCATTAAAAATTTGGAAATAAATCATTCAAACATGTGTCGAGTGTGAGGCAGTTACTCACCGAGGACAATGGAAGATGGTTGCGCAATGCCCTGTATTGGGTAAAGCTAGATGTTTATACCATTGGATGCCGACTCAGAGGTTCAGTGTTCACTCGAGACTAAAGGTCCTGGGTCCGATTCCTGTTTGTGGGATCGTTGGTGCTCACTGTTGCGGAGTCTCATACCATACAGCCATACAGAGCTCCAGATTTTCAATGAAATTCTAACTTGGATTGGTTCATGATTTCAATGGTATATATATTTATATACTTTTTAAATCTGATATACTAAGAAGTCAAATTAATAAATGTCATTGAAACTCAATAGTAACTTCAGTACATTTTATAATGATTACATTTATTATTATTTGTTGTTTAGTGGTAAACGCCTATGCCTGATTGTATAAACTAATATTATTCATTTCCTAAGTACAAGTTCATGTTCTCAACTCTGAACTACACAAATCTAATTATTCTATTACTCATTGAAGCACGTTTCATATTTGGAAATTATTGGTCTTAAGTCAAATGCTTTTACTGCTAAAACTACTGCCCCCCACACTCGATTACATAAACCTGTGACATATTGATTTTATAAAATAAATGAATTATGACTATTAGTGAAACTTGAAAAACAATTTTTGTCTTATTTGAGGTTTGTCAACTAGATATACCTACAATCCAGTGTTGTAATGCTCACAGTGAAATTGGAGCCTAGTACCATTTGTATTAAATAAATGTCAACACACATCATTCACTTGGATAGAAAGTCCAGATAGCTACTAACATGTATTATTCATTACCATTATTAGTAAAAGTATGGATTATCCTGTTTGTGATATACTGAACCTTTGTGATGTGTAATTTTGATAAGTCTTGCTGATTGAACGCTATATTCTGATCCTAAGCTAATTTTATAACCCTTAAGCTAGAACTACACAGCGACTTCAACACGAGAGAAAAGGTGCAAAATATACGACAAGCACTTTACTCCAAAAGTTGATTTATGTACAGAAAATATAGGATTTTTTTATAGTATTTTAGAAGTCCTTGGATTTCCCTGAAAATTCTGGAATACTACTACACATAGTAACTGTAGTAATCAGTCAATCAGAACCTCTACATGTGACTTTTCATTTACGCGATATTTCTAGCAAAACTTCTAATCAAACGCTGATTAGATAAAATACTTCTTAATGTTTCCTGAGCTTGTCATGTCTATTGCAAGGAATTTTCAGGATCGTCTCAACAAATTTCCCGTCAACAAATATATTTCAAGTGTTATTTAAACCTATTTATTAGGTTATAAAAAGTATCAACTCTTTATTCATTATTTTTATTTATTTAATTAAAATAGGTTGATATTTATAGTTTAGGTGTAATATTCTTTGAAATGTTACATCCATGCTTTACAAGATCTGAATTAATAACCTATTTAGAACAATTTATCAATGCATCATCATTAACTAATTATCGTAATATGAATAATCAGAACATCTCAAATGATCTTACCAACCAGTGTAATATTAATGTTCATACTAAACATGGAATTATGGATTATTTGTTAGATATATTTCCTCGTTCAATGCTGTCAACTTGGCCTTATGAAGTGAGTTCTATGTTGTTGTTTTTTTGTATTTTGTTGTCGATTTGTTTGATGATGAATAAAACTGAATAATTTATGACTGATACATAAACAGTTTACTAATTATTCAATCTCCACCATTATTTCACACTGTTGATTAACTTTACTCAATCATTCAATTCTGACATTAACAAAATTCTTAAATAGCTCAGTCAGTCTTGAGTGCTGTATGAGGGCAGTTATCACTTCCTGGCTTCACACACCGTGGAAAGGTTCTTCTAGAGGTACCTGAAAAGGAAATTTTTTTATTTATTTTATTTTATTTAAACACATAAATATTGGTACAAGGAAGCATCAGATAAATATTCGCCACACAAATCTCACTCGATTTGTGTGAGGGCTGTGATACTGCCCGTGTGCCCAGACTGAAGCAGGTGGTTTTCTTAGGGGGCCACACTCCGAGCCTTTGACCTGAATGTCTGATCCACAAGGCAGTGGAGCATCGTGAAGAGATGCAGTCTCATGGTAGCCGGTGATCAACGGTTCATTGGTACGCCATTTGTTCCTTCAGGATAGTGGAGCCCATGTGCACCACTGGTTTGGAATCAGGGTTTTCCAACTCCCCTAGGTGGGTTCACTGTCCACGGTCCCGGTTAAAACGATGGACATTCGCTTTTCGTCCTCTCAATTCCGTAAACAACACCCCTGGTGTGAGAAGGCAGTGAGTAGGACTTAGCATCAGTCAAAATATCACAGATATATTTACTCTTAAATTCTAGTATCCCTTGATACATACTGTTTTATTCTGTCTTCTCGAATCATATTCCCATTGTTTAGTCTTTCTCATCATCGTTGAAACTGTTTCACCATCCATATTGTTGTGCTGATATGGTAATAACAACTTGGACCAATGCATATTTGTCGCAGGGTCTACGTTGATTATTACTGAATAATCAAAATAACAAATGTACTTGAATGTGTCAATACGACCTGTTACAATGTACTATTGTTGTTGTGTTTTCGTACAGTGAAAATATTCTTAAAAATCACTGTTTCTTATAGTATATATATATCACCTTTCATGTATTTCTCTTTGATCCTTAAATCTACAATGTTAGAGTCAATTAGTTGCTAGAATGTTAAATCTTCATGTTCAATATCGTCCTAATGCAATGGAAATATTAGAAATATTATCAGTCAACTCAGAGGTTAGTGATGTGTTTGTAAATTGTTATTAATTATTCAGCATACTAATATGTAATATTTGATGACAAAGTATAGACAGTAAAAGTTAGAAATGTAAATCATTGGATCTGAATTCCATCATTTAAAGGTCAAGCGCTCGCCGCTAGACCTGAAGGCCTAAGGCTTGATCCCTGGCAGGGTTGTGGGTTCGCGCTGCTGAGTAATCTCGAAACAGCTCTATAGTACCTCCTAACTTTCAGTAGGTGCTTGACTAAGGTCAGTGCGCAATGTAAACTATAAGATTCAGCAATGTCCACAAACCCTCATACTAAGAACAACAAATCTTTCCGATAAAGCTATTTTTGCATGTTTTTCATTTTCTTCATTGTCCACACATAAGTTTATCTCAATATCCATTCAGTAGTCTATAAAATGATATACTTATCTTGTCGTATTTCACAGAAAACTTACAAATTCCAAACCATATATATATACAAACACTAGATGTGTTTTTTTTCATGTTTATTACTTAACAGAGGATTATATTTTAAAAGTTTTTGTTCAAAAGTCAAACTGTCTGTTGGCAGCATTCGTCACAGTTTGAAGTAACTTGTCGTTCCATTAAGAACTGATGAATACTTGATATCTGTTTCGTCCTAATTTTAAACCCCACAGTAACGTGCACCTATGACCTAACTAGTGACTGACTTATAGGTGAGTCCCTGAAGTTATATTGAAAATTATTAGACGATGAGATCTAGCCATGTTAGAATGAAGTAATTGTCACAAAGGGTGTTGAGAGACCATTGTACTGTCTCTTTGACTGATTGACGTAGGAAATTTGTAACACTAAGTGTAATTCAGTGGTTTAATGTCTAAGTGTTCGCTGAAAGACCTGTAGTGGTTTTATACTAGGACGAAACAGCTGTCCAGTGTTTATGGTTTCTACAAGTCATCCCATTGGACGTCAATCTGTGGTGAATACCACCTACAAACTAAATCACGTCATCATAAGTTGACTGTGTCAATCAACATTTTATGCTTGCTGTTGAGCTTCTGTTTAGACATTTCTAACTCTCTTCATTGAGATTATGTTGCCTGACAGATGTAATAAGCTATCATTAGACAAACAAATAGAAACATTTTAGAACCTCATACAGTTTGTGCATCGACTCAAGACGCCTCATTTCACATCAACACAGAAATAAAAACCGAAAAGAAGGGCAAAAATCATCACATCAAAGCAGAACACTTAACCTGTCAAAGGGATACAAAAATCTTTGGGAAAGTTTGTCAGAAATGTATCTGCGCTCCTGTGACTGACCTCCATCTAGGTTATCTAAAATTTACAACCATGACAGATTCCAACCTTACTATATTGGCCCCAACGACGAATGATTTCATAATTCGACAAGATGTCTTAGTTTGATATATCTTAAGATATCTTTGGCTCACTTCTAGGTTATCTAACATAACTAACCTAAATGATTGACTTTTCGAATGGTATAACACATTTCTCCACAGTCCAGTTAGCTTGTTTTTTGTAAATTATGAAATTGATTTTAAACTTTTTGAACAAGTAGAATGAAGCGTTATGATATGTTTTTGCTTAAATCTTTTTTTCCACTGCCCTCCAAGTTTTCTTTATCCACCCCAACCACATGTGTTCTATACATTAAATAACTAAATTACCGAGTAAACGTTTATGCACCCAACTTTAAGCTACACTGTTTGTGTTAAACTATGTGATGCTACCCTATTGTACAAATTGAATCTGGGCTTGTACTACATTGGTTGAAAACCGAACACTTTAAACATCACGTCATCGCCCTTTTTGTCAACCTAGTTATTGACAATCTAAACTACTAATATTCACTGTAGTATTAAGACTTAATAACAAGATTCATAGTCTTAAAACTAAGACCGATTCAATTTGACATTTTACATTCATTATTATATTTTATTACTTCTCATTTTTTCAATTTCATTCGTTTACTTTACTAGTTTCCAGATCTCGGGGAAAATCGCATCACTGTAGATGCATCTAATTCATTTGTAGATATTGTTTCTAAGAATTTGAAAATGGAATCAACAATACACGAAGATAAAAAAGTATCTTATCCACTGAAAGGCAACTTTTCAAATTATCAATTAATTGATTATTTGATATGGCGTAATCGAGAACTGGAACAAAAACTCCATGAAACACAAGAACGTCTTTCTCTGTATGAAAAAGCAGATAAAATAGAAAATGTATAGGGATGAATTTTCTGCATCACTAGATAAAATGAGTTATTTTTATGATCATCTAACTTTCTTCATGATAGTTTCATGTACATAACATAGAAATAAATGATTATTTATTTTGAAAAGTTTTTCTCCTTCTAACAAAATGAATCCAATGGCTATATAAGGATAATTCAGTGAATAAAATTTTCTTTTTGACAAATATCATTTGCCAAAGTTGTACATAGTCACATTTTGGTAAGTAGTATCATTGAAGCAGAACTGTCCCTCATTGTGTTATCTTAATTTTGCTCCAATGACAATGGGTTTGTTTCATTATTTTTTTTGGGCAATCATAAAATCTAGATGCATGTGCTACACTGTTTTACTCGTGATTATTTTGGGGTCACAAGGTTGTATTGTCATGCTTGACATTCATTGGTAGTAATAAATTACATTCACTGAAGAATTTTTCTTCCTGATATTTGGACCTCACCAATTAGTGACGCAGAGGTATTCTGAATTTATCATAATATCACGTTACATACTTGGTTAGAAGTACTCAATTTACACTGGTTATTCTCTGGCAACCAATTACAGAACTGATTTAATCATAATTACGATGTTACTATGGAATCGGGTTGGTCTATGATTATTCCATTAAATTCAGAATCAGTTCTACGAAGGAAATATGCACTTACTAACTTTGGATATGATAAGACACTGTATCCTTGAGTGATTTCTTTATCAACGAAACCCAGATAGTCATAGCTTCACATTGCTGAAGAGCTCCATACTAGGATGAAACAGACAACCATTTAAAATTGAACTGTGACATTAAATTATAAGAAAATCAAGTTATTGACTCCTCTTCACTTCAATAATAACAAAACACTAAAATAGGTAAGATTCAAGAAATTGTAATGTGGTCCCATGTCACACCTACGTCGATTATTCCAGCTTTCGGACAGACCAACCTTTTTTTCCACCGTCACACTCTGAACTTGTCAATTACTCGCTTGAAGCTTTTACCGTCCTTATTTGAGCGCATGCGTATTTATTGCTCACCCTGCTCACCACATGTCTTAAGCCTATTTTTGTCTAGCTATCAATAGTGAGTCACACTTTATCGGAAGACGTTTCCCCGCGTCGTTCCACTTTCTCGCCCTTCGTGCATAGAATAAACTTATCCAACCTAATCTATGTACGGCTTCTTATTAACCCCGGTCATCTCAAACGGGGTTAGCCTAAGTATCATATACGGAAGATTTATTACCATGGTTTACCTGTTCGCCCAAAATGGAGTCAGTTTGCGAGCTAATAAAATAACAGACTATCAGAAACGAGTTTATTATTAATAGGTGCACTAGAGATATGAAACGTCTGAGACAATATGAGTAGATTGACAGACACTCCAAATGAACACCTATGAAGCAAGGACTTCTGAAAACCACCCCTAAATATTAGGCTTTGTCTTCAATTTCTTAGTACATTTGAGAAAACCAGTTTCTTATAAATTTCAGTGGCCGAATGCTCTAAAATATCTGACAAGAATGTTATGCTCAGAAAGTAACCAAACTAATAAAAAAATTCAAACCGTAAGGGAAGCCAATCGTATATAATATCCATAATCATAAATCATCGGATTCCTAATTGCTGTGAAGACATAAAATCCATTTTCATACTTATTAACACAACTATTCAACTTTTAATATAAACGTATGTGTATCCTTGCATCAACTAATCGTCCAACTGTATCTTGAGTCTAACTGTTATAGCGGAAAAGGAACTGACATACTCGTCAAACTCTGTTTATTCTCCATAACCAGGTTGTGGTTATTCTATATAAGTATTACGTAGCCGAACATGATTAGGAAGTATAAATCTACATGTTTTTTACTATAGTTGAGTACTGTAGTGTCATATGTCAACAAAGGGAATATATTTTCGGTACTTCTCATGATGAAAAAGTTAGCGGAACTGCTGATACAAGCAAGACTAGACAAGTATCCCTAGAACTACACACCCATAATCTCAAGTCTTGGTTGATAATATGTAGGAATCGACACGTGGTGTTGTCCTGCTTCGTTTTAAACAACTAAACGAACCTCAGGAAGTATCCCTCGGTAAGTAAAAACTTTCATCCTCAGTAACCGCTACCTAGTCTACAAGTATTATTTGTTTCTAATGAACACTCAACATTTGATCCAACAACTATTTGAGTTTTGCTAGTTGTTCGCGAACTTTTCATCAAACCTTTCATTCTAGTTCTCTTTCCAAACATGAATATATGACTACATAACACTCCGGAGATAATTGAGACCAGAAATATTTAATTCCTCATACGACGAAGTCTTATTCCTTAGTCAGTGCTTGCTACTCTTAATTAAAAAACACAAACGAGGCTCACGACATATGCTATCTCTGTAAGTTCATACCGATGAAATAAATCTAACTTTATAGGCAAACACCATCCAACACTTTTAAAATCTCGTCCAGCATAAGATCTACGAAACCTTGGGAAGCTCGAAGTTAGTGCTCAATATCAACCTCGTTTAACAAACTCTTTCAACAATGCAACTACTCAACCGTGCATCTCATCATTTTACGACCAGGGATTGATTGTGAGCGCGAAAGTTTTGGAACTAAGTAAGGTAACGCGTAACCCTATTTTTGATTTTCAGTGAAGACTCGCTGTCAGGGCAAAGTCCTAATAATTCACATTTCTTAATATCCGTAATCATAGGTTACTATTATTATGCTTGGTAATGTATTCTATTTCATTGTGATTATTGACTCAAATAGCGTTGATTGGTCTAACACTTTCATATAAATATTCATGTATATTAGAGTGAAGCCTGATGACGATCTAATTGAAAACAATTAATCGCTTACATATGTTGTTCTAATTTTCACAATGGGAATCTCTAAAATCATAGATTAGTCACCCGATTATTAAAGAGTAGTATGCATCTAGTTTCGAAAAGGTTCATGCAGTGACCTTAGTAAGAAATTGTATTTCTATGGTATTTGCGATCAAATACATCTACATCCCGTGGTCATCTTTCGGATTTGAGTAAGAAAAAACAAACGCTACATACCATATAGACCATCGTGAAACTACGTTAACTTAATTATCTCCTTTCAACTAGCACCGATGCCTGACGAGTTACATAGGTAATGAGTCGACATGAAAAACCGTACCAACATATTACTTCTACTAGACTGAATGAATGATGAAATACGAGAGCAAAAGTTAATTCAAAAAACTAAAAGATCCCAAAGACTGACGGACTATTTAGGTTACATACAGCACTACTAGTCGTTTGTATCATTTCATACGATACTCATACTTCTATTATCGTTAAGACTTGTCTAAAGCTATTCACTTACAACACAAATCTTCGTATTATGGTGGGTGAAGAGTTGGCAATATTAGAGAAAATCTTACTAAAAATGATGAGTACTTGCTACATTCAAGACAGATACTCCACCTAACACTCAGTAATATCCAACGTCCATCACACGGAAACAACTGTCGTCTCTCACCAATTCAAGAAATTCGCCGAACTAGTCCTGATTCAAATCAAGGAACCACCCGACTTTAAACCAAAACAATGATGAATACCAATTAATTATTTATGTGTGATCATTTAAAAGGTGACCATTTGACCTTTCTTCTTCTTATCTCCACCAAGTTCGAAGTGTTTGCATCTCTTGATTCTCAGTTGCTTCTTACATTTACATTGAGAGCATTCCAACCGCAGCACAATCTTTTTTGTAGTCTTAGCTTTTCTCCTGAGAATTGGTTTTGACTGACCACCGTAACCTAAAATAGGTATTAAGTGGATATTTTTTCGTACCTGACTGTTTCCTGTCGTACCGCCGCTTGCCCTGTGCATACAGGGAATCTTTTCCTTTTTTGTACTGAGTTACCTTGTGCAAAGTATGTTTTTTGCATTTGGAACTTTTACAAAACGTATTTCTCGTCTTAGGAATATTAACCATGTTAGCCACACGCGACCTTGGCAAGTGACCCGCCCGTTATTAAACAACCCTGGAAGAGATTTAAACAATAACAATCCTAGATTACAAGCAGTAATTAAATAGTTATGTATATAATGGTCGATAATGAGGGATTAGGTTGCTGTTCGAATCTCTTATTTTCTTTTTCCATTAATTTTTATTCTATGCACTAGTATAAACCGTTTAACATTTTCTATATTCTTCTATTTTGTCTCAGAGTATGCTGGGTATTTCATGCATTTTTAACAATCACTCGTTGTATAGCCTGTCTGTTTTTATTGGGTTCCACGTAATACTAGCTTTATTGATATCACGCTCATCGAACGGCTTTCAGTATAGCTGTTTAACACCACTGTGTATCTGCACTGAGTTATCTGCAGAGACGTGTTGCTAACATTCAGTGAAATCAGCTACCTAAAGGCTGACACATTCCATTAAAATATGGCATATTTGAGCAGAAGTTTAACGAAATATTGATCTTAATAAAATCAGCTTGTTCGAATACACAGTGGTGAGGAGAACTCATTGAAACTCGATCTTGGCACTCCAAAGAGAGCTAGGATTATTTCAAAATGTGGAACCAACTACTTAATGAAGACAACAGGCACACTCACTCAACCTTGGATAACCTTCTCACTTGAGATGAAATCTTGATAGATACCTTGGTAGATACCTTTATCCTTCGTAAAAAATTGACCCACTGTTCTGGACATTTGTTTTATTTGCAAAGCCTGCTGGCAGTTTAAACTCTTGGATATATCAACTTCAAAACAAAACAATCTAAGTATGCGGTATCAAGGAGTCTATCCTAGAGTTCATGTAAAGGTTTACTGGGTTTTTATGCTGAACAGTCCGTTTGTCAACAGTCGTTTCTAAGATAAATAACTATGTTTGACCTCAAGATAACGATTACTGTGTCCTGACTTCTCTAGAACGTTTAGCAGATTCATTCGTAAGCGTGCCTACAAGAAGCTCGGGCGTATGGGTATTCAGATACTGTCAATCAACTAATTATGGTCATATCGAAATAGCTACACAACTATTGTTGAGCTAATTTTTTCGGTTACAAAAGCTGCAACATGCTGTAGTGGGCACTTCCGTATTCAGTGCAAGAACCCTTTCCCTTTTCAACCCACACAAATTACCCTCAAGACTTACATTATAATGTATTACATTTTGCTGATGATATAAGGCTTATCATAGAAGTTGGCAAGCAGGCTGGTAATCTGGCTCTCTAGAAGGATCTGACTTGAAGCAAAAGCTCAGTAAAAGTAGGTGGCCTGCTTGAATACCTGGGCTACCTGTTTCTGTCATCTAAATATTCCAACAAGATATCTGGGCTTTTTAATTTTGTTTTAACTTATCATTATGTCTATTAATCGCATAACCTATACAGGCGCGTTTATGAAAAGCTTACGTCCTTTCGCTGCAAAAATCACAAACAAGTACAATTAGAGACATCATGGTGGTTGGCAATATGCATTAAAGAGAATGAACATTAATCAAATGTCGATTCCAGAGCTGCTTAATTCTAACTGTCGATCTCTAATTAACAAGGTGGACTATCTCCAATTTCTGCTAAGTCAAAACATGTATCGTAATTGTGGTGTCATCACCATTCAAGAATCTTGGTTAACTGACTTACTGGATGATTGCTTAGTATAATTACGTGATTTTAATATATATCGTCAGGATCGATCAAACAACAAAAAGACCTGTGGTGGCGGAGTAGCTACGTTTGTGAACGTTAACTGGTGTCGATCTACTTTTGCCTGTTTCAAGTTTTCAAATGACTTTATTGACTGTCTAACTTTAAGGTGCCGTCCAAAACACCTGAATAAATACAAATATATTTATGTTACCAATACCTACATGACTCCAGACAGTACATCATCGGCGCTATCTGGCTTCGCTGATAAATTTACTGAATTCGCCGTTACCGTCTTCAGTGATTCACTTACAATTGTATGTGGTGACTACAATTCATGTGACTGTAGCTTCCTTACATCACTAGGTCACCTAAATGTAGTAGATTTTCCTACTCATTTGAATGCTCATCTAGAACTGGTTTTCATTAATGATGTGGGTACATATGCGACTCGCAAACGTGCTCCATTGTCTAGCTCGGATCGCTGTATAATTCGTGTTCTACCTAAAGTATATGGTAAACATGGAAAGAGTACACACATACACCATACCAAAAAAGTAATGTGCAGAAATTACTCAGAAGAAAATTTACAGAATCTAAAAAACATGTTTCGTACGACCAACTGGGAGTTATTTACAAATGACTCAATAGAAAACACAATTGATGTTATCACCTGTTATCTTAAGTTCTGTTTCGATATTTGCTGTCCTACCGAAACCTTCTTTTTAAGTTTTGATCGACTTACATCTCCACAACTAAAACGACTACGGAGGGTAAAAGAAAGGACGTACAAGGAGAAAAATACTACTGAAGTTCGTAAGTTAAATGGTCAAATAAACCAAGAGATTAGACTTCTCAACTCTGTGTTTACTCAAAAACTCCTATCTTGTAAAAGCTCTCCAAGTATGTGGAAACTCTTTAAAGAAATTACAGGGGATAGGAAGACTAGAAGCGATAACTAGCTGAATGCTTGTGACTTAAATAAGTCCTTTATTCATCAGTCATCTGACATCATGCTCCCTATATCCAAGGGTCTGAAGAATAATTGTGTTTCCAGTTTCACTGAAAATGATGTCCGAAAATGTCTCCAGTCTCTGAATTCATCCCAATGTTTAGGACCCGATGGTATCCCAAACATTCTTTTTAGAAAATGTGCTGATGTTTTATGTTATCCATTAATGAATATCTTCAACAGATCCTTCTCAACTAATGTCTTACCGAAAATGTGGAGAAAGATAAAGATAATCCCTATACCAAAGAAAGCTTCTGGTGATAAAAAAGCGAAACTTAGACCCATTGCAATAACTTCACCTTTCCTTAAAATAATGGAAAAATTACTGATACAACCACTTCAACCTGCAATAAAAAAGCACTGTGATCCATGTCAGTTTGCTTACAAATGCAAAAGAAGCACATTAGATTCCGTTGCTGTTCTGCATCACAATATAGTGTTCAGGTTGGAAAAGGGTAAGAAGTATGTTAGATGCGCTTTCCTGGACTTTGCCTCTGCTTTTGATTCTATTCCAAGACACCTCTTACTTAACAAGCTGATCAGCTTCGACACTGACAGCTGGATAACCAAACGGCTATGTTCCTACCTTTCTGGAAGAGAACAGTACACTGTATTTGAAGGAAAGTGTTCAACATTTCTACTGTCTAATGTAGGTGTGCCCCAAGGAGCTGTTCCTTTTCTGTTTTTTTGTTTGTTTTTTTGTTTTTTTGTTATTTTTTGGTAAAAACTTGTTGAAATAACTCGTGCTGAGAATTCTATATTGTACCAGATTATAATATTGAATAAAGCCATTAATAATAACAATAATAATAAATTATGTAGTGAGTTTCAACTCGTTGAAAAATAAAGTGTTCCATGTAAAAGTCCTTGCAAACTACACCCAAGTTGAAGAATGCGGTCTGTAAGTCCTATTGGCTGATTGAGATTTAGCTGCTTTGGTACCTCATGTTCTGAAGTTATAACCTATGGCAAAAATAATGCTACAGGAAACCGTCACTGCTGACTTTCAAGGGGAACTCCAGGCAGTTTCATGATATAATTTTTCAACTTATACTTAAGTTTTATTCAACCATCTTAAAGTGTGGGAAAATAGTTTATCCGTTTTTGCTTCAGAAAGATATAAATGCTACTGATTATATGCAAAAGCAAGTCACTAAATCATTTCAAGTACTCAACTTCATTCTTCATGAGAAACCCTCCGAAATACTGGATTTGAACCCACGATAGCATGTGAGATTGATCGGGAACCTTTAAGTGACCTGCAACATCGTAACCCTGCGTAAAATATTTTATGAAGGTTTAGTGCATGAAAGCCTGGAAACAACTAGGTTGATTGGCTGAGAATTGGCTGCAAACATATTAGCTATGTCAAAAAATTGTAGTTATAATATTCCTTCCCCCCTCGTTTGTGTAGGCATTAAATTTCCCATTATTTTATATTGAATGCTAAAAAAACTGGTGTGTTTGAAAAGGATAATCCCGTGCTTCAACTGTCCTGTTCCACGATCTAGACAAAGATCCATTCACCACTAGTATGGCTTCTTCTATCTAAAGAACAAGGGGTACCCCTGAAAAGAGAAATCCCTCCATGTACTATGTACTTTGATTTATCCTTCTTGATTCCTTCAGATGCACACTTCATCGATCTTCTAAATCGATCTTAGATGGTACTCTACATGTACTATGTACTGTGATTTATCCTTCTTGATTCCTTGAGATGTACACTTCATCGATCTTCTAAATCGATCTTAGGTGGTACTCTTTATATTCCGACTCCTCCTGTGGTTCTTTTAGGTCTATTGCCGATCACAAGCACGGGTAGAATATGAGGATTGGGTGTGGAGTCGGCAACCTCATCCCGTAGAAAACAATCTTGTTGAAAAACGCTGACCATTTGTCGTTTGCTGTAGTTTTTGGTTTTCTTACGTTTTAACCGTATTCCCACATATTCCTGAACTACGACCATGTTATTTTAGTTGTTTTTTTGGACATAGTGTCTGCCATATTAATCTACTCTTTTTTTGGTTATATTGCCTGAATTGACTGGGACTGTGTATTTTAGGTGAATTGAGGCACCCTTCCAGATATGGAAACACTCGGTGTTATTGGAAATTTAAATATTATCTTTTGTACAACCCCTGTGTGATCTGTCCAGAGTGGATAGAATAAGGTTTCCGTGCTAATAGGAATATGTTTTTGTTACACCTGGTAATTCTCCTATATGCTTTATCAACTTACCCAACTAATGTAATTTAAATTTGACTACGGAATGGAAAATTATTGATTTGATAACTGTGTGGTGATATTTGTTTAGTTAGAGTTTATTAAAATTTCTTATGAGATTTAGAACCGTCACTTTATTAATTACTTTGTTTTGGTT